CCGCGCGTCGCCGAGTCGCCCATCGCCTTCGAGTGCCGCACCACCCACGTCATCCGCCTCGCCCCCAAGGGCACCCCGGCGGGCGGCAACATCGTGATGGGCGAGGTCGTCGCCATCCACGCGCACGACGGGCTGATCAACGAGCGATTCCACATCGACGCCGAGCTGCTCGACGCGATCGGTCGCATGGGCGGGCCGGACTATGTGAGGACGCGGGATCGGTTCGAGTTGCCGCGGGGGCGCGAAGCGCTCAAGCGATAAGCACCCTCAACAATTCTTCGCCAGCACATCCTTCGTCGTGCTCGGGTCCACATCAATCGGATACTCCCCCGTAAAACACGCCGCGCAGTAATCCGCCGGCGTGGTGCTCACGCCGCTCACCGCGTCGAGCATGCCGTCCAGCGAGAGGTAGTGCAGCGAGTCCACGCCCAGCATCGAGCGGATCTGCTCCACGTCGTTGTTCGACGCGATGAGCTGGTCCTTGTCCGCGAAGTCGATGCCGAAGTAGCACGGGTTGCGGATCGGCGGGCACGAGATCCGGAGGTGGATCTCCGTCGCGCCCGCGGCACGCAGCTGGTCCATCTTCGCGCGGGTCGTCGTGCCGCGGACGATCGAGTCGTCCACCACCACGCACCGCTGCCCGCGGACCACGTCCGGGATCACGTTGAGCTTGAGCCGCACCGCCGTCGTCCGCTCGGCCCGCGTCGGCTTGATGAACGTCCGGCCGACGTACCGGTTCGGGATGATCCCCTCGCGGTACGGCAGGCCCGACTCTGCGGCGAAGCCCGTCGCGGCGCTGCGTCCGGAGTCCGGCATCGGGAGCACGACGTCCGCCTCGACGGGCGACTCGATCGCGAGCTGGCGGCCGAACTGCTCGCGCACCATCTGGATGGTCTTGCCATGGATGGTGCTCGCGGGGCTCGCGAAGTAGACGTGCTCGAAGACGCAGTGCGCGCGGCGGATCGATGAATCGGCGAAGCGACGCGAGGAGACGCCGTCGTCGTTGATGGTCACGATCTCGCCCGGCTCGATCTCGCGGACGGTGGCCGCGCCGATGACGTCCAGCGCGACGGACTCGCTCGCGACGACGTGCCCGCCGTTCGGGAGCCTGCCGAGCACGAGCGGGCGCCACCCCCAGGGGTCGCGCAGCGCCTCGATGCGGTCGTTGAAGAGGAACACGAGAGAAAACGCGCCGGTGAGCATCGACGCGGCCTGCGCGATCGGGTCGTCGCAATCGTCTTTGCCCGCGCACTCGGCGATGAGCTGGAGGATGACCTCGGTGTCGGACGTGGTGTGGAACGCGTGGCCCGAGTTTTCGAGCTCGTCGCGCAGCACGCGCGCGTTCACGAGGTTGCCGTTGTGCCCGATCGCGACCTGCCCGCCCTTGTAGAAGCCGACGAAGGGCTGGGCGTTCTTGCCGTCGCTCGCGCCGGTGGTGGAGTAGCGGTTGTGCCCGATCGCGCCGCCCGCGGAGATCTGCCGCGATGACGCGTGCGCGTCGAGGTGCTCGAGGGTCTCGGGCGTGAACACCTGGGAGACGAGGCCCATCCCGGTGTGACGCTCGATCGACTTGCCGTCCGTGCACGCGATGCCGGCCGATTCCTGCCCGCGGTGCTGGAGGGAGTAGAGCCCGAAATACGACGCGCGCGCGGGGGCCTCTTCGCCCCAGATCCCGAAGACGCCGCACTTCTCACGCGGCTCGTCGAGCACTTCGAGGCGGACGTCGGGGCGGCGGGCGGGCTGTTCGGGGGATGGCTCGGGCACGGTCGCTCCGGGAGATCAAGAGAAATCGGGGCGGAAAAAGACAATGGTAGCAGGGGCCGAGGGGGGGCCGGGACGGGGCCGATGCGGCGTCGTGTGCGCAGGAGGGCGGAAATTTCTTCCGGAATCCGCCGGGATGATGTAAAAGATCTTCGACACGATGTCCAAGAAGGTAGACACCGTGTCATCCAGGCTTGACACGGATCGCTGGGCACCGAACAAGGAACGAACAATGTATGAATCAGGAACCGGATCGACCGTCCGCGAGCTCACCGCGTGGGGCTCGTTCATCATCACGGCCAGCCTCTTCGCGTGGTACGCGACGAAGGTGATCGCCGACCCCGCGAGCGTGATGGTCGCGTACAAGCTCATGGTGCTCATGATCCTGTACGTCGTGATCTCGCACGTCTTCCTCGGCGCGTTCATCAGCCTCGCGACGTCGGACGAGAAGGAGTCCAACGACGAGCGCGACAAGCACATCGCGGCCCGCGCCTCGCGATACTCCGAGTGGATCCTGGGGTCGGGCGTCGTGCTCACGATCTTCCTGATCTTCGCCCAGCAGGCGACGTGGCTCGGCATCTACGACATCGCGTACGACCTCAGCGCGACGGCAGAGCAGCAGGCGGAGATTCCCCAGATGATCCGCGACGTGCGCGCGGACATGTGGCGCCACCCGATCGTCTCGGGGCACGCGCTGGTGACGACGATGGTGATGAGCGAGCTCGTGCGCTCCCTGACGATCGCGATCGACTACCGGACGGCGGCGTGAGCCATGGCGAAACGACCCAAAACACGCATCGCGAACAACATCCGGGGTTTGCGCTTCAACTCCGGCGAGATGACGCAGGCGGCGCTGGCGGAGAAGTGCGGCGTGAGCCGCCAGACGATCGTGGCGATTGAGAAGGGCAAGTATTCGCCGAGCCTGGAACTCGCGTTCCGGATCTCGGAGGTGTTCCGGGTGTCGATCGAGGGGATTTTCTGGGAGGAGGCGTGGGTGAAGGGGGAGTGGGTGCGGATGGAGTGGGGGTGAGCGCGCTGCGGCGTGGTGTGCGATTCCAGCGGATGCGCCAATTGTGGATCTGATATGTCCACAATGAAAGTGCAATAATCGGCAAAAAATTGCAAATGTAGCGTGTGAATGGCTCACAATAGTGTATATATCTATGCACTACTCCGTTCAAAGCTTGGCGTGTTGACAGTCGCCGAGATCACGCCAGCGGAGTGCCGGAGACCACGCCATGGCGGCGACGAACACGACCTTGCGCACCGTTTCGTTCTCGATCATCCTCCTCGGCGCCACGGCGGTGGCTCTGGGGTTTGTGGCGATGCTCGGAACGATTCACGCGTCCGCGGCGACAACCGCGGAGCGCGTTTTCCTGGTCAGCTTCAACGGCGCTCCGGAGGTCACGCTGCACGGGGTCGTGCTCGACCAGGCGACGATGGCGCCGATCGAGGGCGCGTACGTCTCGCTTCGTGCGACCGGTCCCGGCACGTTCACGAACGCGGACGGGACCTACTCGCTCACCATCCCGGACTCGCCCGGCGCGTGGGTCGTGGCCGCGAAGAAGGGTTTTTACAACGCCCCCGTTCTGTACACGGGGAGCGCCGGCGTGAGCTTCTCGATGGAGCCGACGCCGAGCGTTGATAACGCGTCGTACGCGTTTATCCCGCCGAGCGGGTGCTCGGGGTGCCACCCGCAGCAGGTGCAGGAGTGGACGGGCTCCCCGATGGCGCGTGCCGGGCTCAACACCTGGGTGCACGACATCTTCTCGGGGGACGGGACGCCGGGCGGCATGGGCGGGTTCGTGTACCTGCGCGATTCGGTTTACGCCCAGAGCAATCCCGAATCGGAGTGCGCCGCGTGTCACCAGCCCGAGTTGTGGATCGAGTCGCCGTTCAGCGCGATGCAGAAGCCCTCGGACCCCGGGTACCCGTCCGTCGAGGCGGTGCACGGGATCTCCTGCGAGGTGTGCCACAAGATCGCCGACGTCGACGTCGAGCTGATCAACTATCCGGGCGTGTTCGATCCGGCGGTCTCGTTCGTGCGTCCGCCTTCGGGGCGGCAGGTGATGTACGGGCTTCTCGGGGATTCGTCTTTCCACGCGCCCGGGCTCATGGAGGCGGCGTACAACCCGGATCTGTCGGCCGAGGTGTGCGGCGCGTGCCACCAGGACAAGAACGATCCGCTCGGCAGCCACACGTTCGACGGGGTCACCTCCGAGCCCACGTATCTCGAATGGGCGGATTCGCCCTACGCGGATCCCGAAGCGGACGAGTTCGCGACGTGCCTGAGCTGCCACATGCCGGCCAACGGCGCGACCTCCGCGTGCGTGGTCGAGGACCCGGGGCGGCCATTCGGCGACGTGCGGACGCACGACATCCGGGGCACGACGCCGGAGTATCTCGAGCATGCCGCGGAGCTCGTGCTTGACGCTCGCGTCGAGGGTGGCGAGCTTGTCGTGGACGTGGATGTCGTCAACGCGCACACGGGGCATCACCTCCCGACGGGCGTGACGGTGCGGAACATGGTCCTGCTCGTGGAGGCGTCGCGTGCGTTCGACGGTTCGGCGCTCGCGCACACGGGTGACCAGGTCGTGGACGATCTGGGGGGCATCGGCGACCCGGCGCAGGGGTACTACGCGGGCCTCGCCGGGAAGTTCTTCGCCAAGGTCAATATGGACGCGATGGGAAACGGCCCGACGTTCTTCACGGACGCCGCGGGCATCCGGTACGACAACAGGATCCCGGCGCTGGCGACGGACTCCACGACGTACACGTTCGCGCTGCCCGCGCAGGCGGGTGACGTCGAGGTCCGCGCCCGGCTGATCTACCGGCGCGCGTTCCGCTTTCTGGTGGACGCGAAGCAATGGACCGAGGACGGGCACGGGAACCCGCTGGCGGACGTGACCCCGCCGCACTACGGCCACCTGATGGAGTCCGCGCAGACGGTCGTGTCCGTTCCGGTGTGCCCGGGCGACTGCGACGGCAGCGGCGTGATCGACTTCAACGATCTCGTGGCGATGCTCTTCGAGTTCGGCGCGGGCGGCGGTGGCCTATGCGACGCGGACGGGTCGGGGGAGATTGATTTCAACGACCTTGTCGCGGCACTGTTCCTGTTTGGGCCGTGCGGTTGAGTCGCTGTGCTCGGATCGCCGGCGTTCAAAAAATATCTGCCTGCCTCGTAACACACCCTGCCCGCTCGGGTCTGTGTCCCTGAGCGGGGACCGTCTGTCCCCGTCATGAACCGGTCTCTGCGTCGCGGCGGTCGATTGGGGTATCTCCGCGTCGTTCTTTCATGAAGGAGTGTGCGATGCGAAGGGCTGCGCTGGTGATCGTGTCGGGTGCGGTGCTCGGTCTGGGCGGGCTGTACGGGTGCCAGTCTTCGGGCGTTTCGTCCGAGGAAGGGTGGGGGTTCGTGTCGTTCGAGGAGCAGGCCGCGTTCGGCGGGTCGGTGTACGGGGCGAACTGCGCCGAGTGCCACGGGAACGCCGGGCAGGGGACGATGGAGGCGCCGCGGCTTGTGGGCGAGGGGGCGTTGCCGCTGCGTCAGGGGCGGGGCTCGGCGCGGACGGGCGAGTTCCGGACGGCGATGGACGTCGCGGCGTTCGTGACGGCGAATATGCCGCCGAACGAGGAGGATCGGGCGGAGATCGGCGCCCGTGAGTACTGGGCGGTGCTGGCGTTCGCGCTGCGTGCCAATGGGGTGAGCCTGGACGAGCCGGTGGGCCCGTCGAACGCGGAATCGATCGTGCTGCACCCCTAGAGTTGGGACGTCCGGGGGTCCGGCGACCGGAGGTTATGACAAGCGTGACGGCACAACTCGAGTGGGGGGCGTGCTGCCCGTGGGCGGACCCGCCGACGGACGAGCAGGTCGTCGCGCGCGTGCTGGGGGGCGACGCGGGGGCGTTCGAGCTGCTCATGCGCCGGCACAACCGCCGGCTCTACCGCGTCGCGCGGGCGGTGCTGCGGTCCGACGCGGACGCGGAGGACGCGCTGCAGGAGGCGTATTTGCGGGCGTACGCGAGCCTGGGGACGTTCGAGGGGCGGGCGAGCGTGGCGACGTGGCTCTCTCGCATCGTGTACCACGAGGCGCTGCGCCGCGGGAAGAAGGAGCGGGCGGTGAGAACGACGATCCGGACATTCGGCGAGCGCACGGCGGGCGGCGGTGACGGCGGCGGGGGCGGCGACGACGCGGGGCGCGGGGTCGCGCTCCGCGAGTCGGCCAACGCGGCGGTCCGGGCGATCGACGCGCTGCCGGAATCGATGCGCGTGGTGGCGGTGCTCCGGCTGGTGCAGGAGCTGAGCACGCGGGAGACGGCGCTGAGTCTTGGGATGACGGAACTGGGCGTTCGCGTCACGCTCCACCGGGCGCGCCGCCGACTCGCGAAGGCGCTCGACGCGGAGGGCGGATCGGGGTTCGCGGAGGCGATGCCGTTCGACGGGGCGCGGTGCGACCGGGTTGTGGCGGGGGTGATGGGGCGGGTGGGGTCGATGCGAGCGTCGGCGTCGCGGCGCTGACAGTGCTCGGTGTGAGCCCTTGAAAGTGTGAGCCGGCAGACGATCGTCGCGATCGAGAAGGGGAAGTACTCGCCGAGCCAGGAGCTGGCGTTCCGGATCTCGGAGGTGTTCCGGGTGTCGATCGAGGGGATCTTCTGGGAGGAGGCGTGGGTGAAGGGGGAGTGGGTTCGGATGGAGTGGGGAAAATAACACAGTAACAAAATAAAATGCCAGCTCAGACTGCTATTGAAGCTAGTCGCGTAAGTACTCGCCAAGAATTTTTTTGTACTCCAGAAAAAATTCTAAGTATACCGTAGTTTTTGCCTTGTCATGAAGTAGGGAGTAATTACTCTTGAGAGCACTCGGCTTGCCTATCACTGTAATTGGCTCATCACAAGAGGAATGCATCCATGCGTATTTCAGATTCACTGACTCAAATGATGCACACATTCACAACTTTGACTGCAGGCATTGCGATCTTGGTTGGCTTGTATTTTCTTGTGCCAAAGCAGTACGCCGTTGCACGGCAGCCTGCTCCCCCTGCTCTCGTCGAACCGGTTGGATATGACTTCGATGCCGACGGCGTCCGCGATTTCATCGTGAGTTATCCGATGTCGTACACCAGTCGCCTGCAACGTGCGCACATCCGGGTGTATTCGGGCGCTACGCGGTCGCTGTTGCACATCATCCGAGCGGGCGATTGGGATGACTTCTTCGGGTTCTCGGTGAGTTCTGCTGGTGACACGAACGGTGACGGGCACGACGACATTGTTGTCGGGGCGCCGAATGCGATGCGGATGGGCGTGCAAGGCGGTGCTGTCTACGTGTTTTCAGGTCTGGACGGCTCGTTGCTTCTCGAGCTGGATGGGCACTGGGCACCGGACAAGCCTCGCTACAGGCATTTCGGGAGAACCGTTGCGGGTATCGGGGACATCGACGGAGACGGTCTGAGTGACTTTGCGGTCGCTGCGAACGTTCATACGGATATCAAGGTCTGGCGGGGAGTCGTTGATCTCTACTCCGGTGGTACCGGGATTCTCATCGGGGCACTCGAAGCGGAGAATCTGTATACCGGCTTCGGGGATTCCATTGGTGGCCTCGGGGATATCAACGGCGACGGCACACACGACATCGCGATTTCGTCTCCGTGGGACACGAATGCCGATGGCTCTCGGGGGCGAGTCTATTTGTTCCTTGGGGGCGATGACCCGCAGCAGGCTCCGTACGACCGAATCGATACCGACGCCGATATCGTCATCGAAAACAACGGCATCGATACGAACTTTTTCGGAGAGCTCTTGTATCGGGGGCAGGATCTCAATGCAGACGGCACGTTTGAGCTGGTCATCGCTTCGCCTTCTCACGACGCCGCGACGGGCGAGCCCGTGTCGCTCTACCAGTCCATCAGCACTTCGACACTGCTTGTTCTCAATCAACTGGCGGCCAACCCGAAGAAGCTGAAAGCGGACACCGATAACGACGGAGACGTTGACGAGAACGACCTTGCCCTCGCTCTCAGCAGTTTTGGTGAGGAGGCGGACATTCTCAGCCCGGTCACGTCTGACATCGATGGCGACGGGGATGTTGATCACGAGGATTCGATCGCGCTGCTCTTTGACTTCGGGGCGGTGCATCCGGCGAGGCAACTCGCAGACCCGAAAAGCAGTGCGGGCTTTGTGTATTATTCCGGGGGTGTCGACCAGGATAATCTGGGCGCCAAGAGCAGGATGCAGCCTGTGGTGCTGATCGAAGAGGGGGATCTGCCTCCGGCGGCGAAGCCCGAAGCTGCAGACCACGACATCCCGCTCGGCATGGGCGGGCTGGCGTGGCTGGCGTTTGCTCAGTGTGCCGACGGAACACGGCACTATTTCACACCAAGCGGTATCGGCGCTTCTGGGCCTCGCGATTTTCCGTGCTCGCCGCTAGATCCGATCGAGATCAACCCGGACGGCATCGGTGGGGGTCCCCCTGGCGGGGGCGGAACCGGGCCGCGGCCTATCGATCCCGATGAACCGCTTACGGTGAGCATCGCGAGCGCCGCAGCGAGCGCTCAGTATTGCGAGAGCGATCAGGACACCGACTATTGTTTTAACAATGTGCTTCTCGGAGGGTACACGCCGCCGACTTGCGATCACACGATCACGTACAGCGGGTGGGGCGAGGTCGCGAATAGCCAAAGTCTGGTCAACGGCGGCATGATCCCGGCTGGTCCTGGGGCACCCGTCAGATTGCTTGCGGGCACAACGTCTACGATCAGGGCGGTTCCTCATAGCTGTAGCCCCGAACCTGTAATATTGGCATGCGATATCATGCATACTCAAGACATTGGTGTCGCGGCGTTCCGGTGCACCGATGCCTCATTGACCGAATGGAGCCGGGCCACTTATCACGGCCAGCCGCACTCGTCGTACATCGCCAGTGCTCTGGGCGTTCAATCTGGTCAGACGCAGGTCCGGGGGCATCCGGTAACAGATCAGTCGCCTGTCTCGTTCACGCAGAATATCGAGGTCAAAGACCTCCGGGTGGATGTCGCCTACCCGCATCACCCGTTCATGAGCTTCGCGGACATGGACGCTCTTGGACTCGCTCCGTCCGGCCCGCCAACGCCAACGGGGCCGAACCCGCATTATCCGCCGGGAGAGGATGCGTGGTACGGCGGGGGCCCGCTCGGCTCGACGGACGGAGACGGCCCGTACTATATCGACAAAGCTACGCACTACGAGGCGGATCGGTACCTGAGCGATGTGAACAGCCAGGAGCCCGGCTCGCCCGGTTCGATCGCCATGTCGAACAAGGTCTATATCCGCGTGCTCGACGAAGATGGGCTGCTGGTACCGGGAATCTATGTGACGCTCGCGCTCGACGCCATGTCCGGTCACTCATCCGCGTACACCGATGAGAACGGCTTGGCTATCTTGGAGATGCCGCGGATCCCCGTGGATCGTCTAAAAATTCTCGCCGAGCGCCGCCTCGGGCGGGCGCTCAATGCGCACGAATTCGCATCTCTCCCGTCGATTCAGCATAAGGCGCTCGTCTTTGTCGGGCAGGAGAGCAACGCGCCCTCGATGAACGAGAACACGTTCGAGACGCTCGTCGGGCTCACCGAGCCGACGTCTCAGGTGTATGGCGCGACATTCTGGCGTGAAGAGCCCGCGTCACAAATCGCGATCGTGGATAGTCAGAGTTCGTATGTCGGCAGCGTCACCACGATCACAATGCCGATCATCAACCAGACCCACGCGGCGATCATGGCGTTTGTACTCAAGGGTGAAGAAGAGTCGAGGTACGACGCCGCTACGGGTGCCTGGGATGGCGGGACCGCAAACCTGGAGTACCCCGGCGGCCTCATCGGCTCGTCGTTCGTCATCGATGGTGTTGCCTATGAGATGACACCTTCGCGTACAGGCCTGCTCGATATCGACCCCATGATTCGCTTCCGGGCCGCGGAAAATCTGAGACAGCTGCTTTCGCAGTTCTACCCGAATGCGAACAGCATCATTCAATACGAAGATCTCTTCCCACTCGTCACGGACGAAGGGCAATGGCAGAGACATTTTCTGGAGTCGTACGCCCTACAGAACGAGGAATACCTCGATGAGGTCGATGGCGATTTCTGGACAACGCTCGGCGGAGCCCTCCAGACAGCCGGCGAGGTCGGGCTCGGCGTCCTGCCGTTTGCGGCTGACGGATACGTTGTCTTCAAGGAAATCGTGATCAAGCCGGTTTTTCTTGGCGAGGACCCCGATAGCTTCGAGCTCGTCCTCGCGGGCATCGGGGCCGCGATCGATTTCGGGTACCTCTTGCCTTTGGCCGGCCAGGCCGGCGCCATCGCCGGCAACCTGATCATCTCGGGCATGCGGATCGTGTACCGTTCGATCCCCCCGGAGTTGATCGAGGTCTTCGTCCGCGAGTTCGGGACGATCACTGAATGGGGGGAGTATCTGTTTGCGTACATGACTCGCGTGGCGAGCAATGGGGGGCTGAGCTCTGCGGCGAACATCGGTCAGAGCGGCGTGACGCAGATGCGGCACTTTGCGTCGCTCACGGGCTCGTACACGGCCCAACAGATCGCCACGGGCCAGGCGATTATCGTCGGCTCGGCGAGCAGGGTATTCAGCCGGAACGCTACGGAGGGCGCGGTGCTTCTCGGCAAAGCAGGCCGTCGCCAAGTCGCGGAGGAGCTTTTTGAGGAGTTCTCCGAAGAAGCGGTCGAAGAGGCATTCGACCTACTGCGACTCGTTGACCTGGAAGACATCGCGATCTCGGACGACGCAATCCGTGGCGTGGCGGCAGCGGTGGAAGAAGTGGGGGTTGGCAGCCCGCTGGTACGGGAATTGCTTGAGGGCTCGGCGATGACGACAGCTCGGACAGGCAAAGCGTTCGAGAACTTGTACCATTTGAAAGATGTTCAGGGATACGACGAGATGATTACGTTCCTGCGGAACAACCGAAACAACATGAACGGGATCGACGGCGCTATCTTCGAGAGTACAGCCGGGAGACGGATTCTGGAGGGGGGGATTCCGGAGGTTGGTGCATTGGAACGTGTATCTGCGGACGGCCTTGATGGACTCAATAGGATTGATACTCTTGCAGGCATGCACGGGATTCAGATTAAATACAAGGGCACTGGCACAATTTCGCCATCGAATGTTTGCGGCAGCGGAGGGGTGTGCGGAGCGGCGTATTTGGATAGCTTGCAGCAGCAGGCGTTAGACAATGAACTGCTGCCCATGCTGCTCACAAACCAGCCGATAGGGCCATCGCTCCAGCAGATGCTCACCGACCGAAATATTCAGTGGATCCGGCTGGCAAACTAGTTATTAGATATATAGATGAGAATTATAGAACTTAAATACAAATCAGCCAGAACATACACCAATCAGGATGGCTGGGTTTTTCGGATCGGCCCAGGTAGGTTGCATGCGGTTCTCGCAGTGCGTAATTTTTCTAGTCCATTGCGTAATATATTTCCCAAAAACATGCAGTACGCCATGTTTATCGTAAACTATGTTGATTCACAATACCGGCGGTTTCAGCACTATTCCGTCCTCGGGGAAGCCGATCTCCTGCCAATCGAGAGCACGAATTTTCGCGACCGCGCCAAAGAGTTCCGGTCCCACTGTCGGCTCGTGAATGGCCTGCGTGGTCGCGATCTTCCGGAAGATACGCAGCGAATTCTGGTCTCGAAGAATCGGATGGTGGACCTTGATGGGAAGCTCGCGATGTGGTTCCGCGGCGAGCCCGACGCGGTATACGCGCGACTCGGGCTCGTTTCGCATCCAAAGAAACAGCGGCGCATGCCGGGCCCGGCGATGCCCGAATTTGCGATCGACTACACGATTCCGTTCCACCGCGTTCTCTGGCATCCGGACATTGTGCAAGAGAACGACGGCTCAATCCGACTCCATGCCGCCAGTCACACCTACATCCGCGAAACAGAAACCGTCTCTCGAAGTGATGGTCTTCAGCCATCCGACTTCACTGTCGAGAAGCCTGTGTGAAACTAGTTCGCCTCCGCTATTCAGTGATTCACGGTGAGTAAATCACGGGAACGTTGGCGACGTTGCCAGCAACCAGATCATCTGGACATGCTCGCGTGCCACTCCCGTTCCTGTCCGAGAGTGTCAATTGAAGCCTTTCTCGCTTCGAAGCGCGATCGACGGAGCAGTCCGGCTCATCTTTTGATGTTGCTCCTGAAACTTTTGTGCGACGAGCATGGGTCGGGTGAGGCGGGCGTCGCCGTCCCCGCTCATTGACATTCGCGGTTGCCATTTGAAGACGTTTTTTTACCGGCATGAACCCACCCCAGCCGCTCCCTCGGAGAGAGAATCATTGGATTGACACTCACCCCCTTTTCTGCTCCAATGCTTGGCTCGTCTGAGACCGGATCCCCCCGCAGCCCTCAAAAACGCGGTTTTTGAGCTTCGGGGCGGGGTTTCGTTGGGCCGCAGTCGCGGTATCCCCTCGTTTCGCCCGGTTGGATCGCTTCCTTTTCACTCCCCGAAGCACCCCCGCCAGCGCGCGTGGGACGGAGGACAAACTGATGGCTCGTTACCTCGGCCCCAAGGTCAAGCTCTCTCGTCGTGTCGGCGTTCCGATCGCGGACATCCCCAAGCACACCGCCAAGCGTCAGCTCACGCCCCCCGGCATCCACGGGTACCGCGGCCGCCGTCTGCGTGACTACGGCGTTCGCCTGAACGAGAAGCAGAAGCTCCGCTACCACTACAACATCCTCGAGAAGCAGTTCCGTCGCACCGTCGACGAGGCGAAGCGCCGCAAGGGCAACACCGGCGAGCTGCTCCTCCAGCTGCTCGAGCAGCGGATCGACAACGCGCTCCGCCGCGCGGGCGTGGTGCGGACGATCTGGGCGGCCCGCCAGATGGTCGTGCACGGGCACGTGAAGGTGAACGGCCAGAAGGTCGACCGCCCGAGCTTCGCGCTCAACGTTGGCGATGTCGTGACCTTCCGCGACAAGATCCAGCCGATCATCCGCGACAACATGGAGTCGATCGTCGGGCACATCGTCCCGGACTGGATGGAATTCACCCCGGCGGACCTCTCGATCCGCGTGGTGTCCATGCCGACGTCCGACCAGGTGCCGTTCGACGTGAACACCAACCTGATCGTCGAATTCTACCGCTAAATCCCCCCCCCGGAAGTGGGCGCACGCGTTGGCGTGCGCCCGTTTTTGGCGTCGATTCTTACGGATTGCGACCACCCACCCACGGGAGCGGCGATGCTCAAGTTCTTCCGCAAGTACAACAAGATCATCCTCGTCATCGGCGGGGCGTTCTTGATGGTTTCCTTCCTGCTCATGGACTCGATCGGGCGCATGAGCGGGCAGCTCGGGCTGTCGCAGCCGTACGCGCGCATCGACGGCGAGAAGATCGACATGGGCCGGTACTCGGATTCGATCCGGGAGCTGGAGGTGGTGCGGCGGGTGTCGCCCGAGGTGCTCGAGCTGATCGGCATCGACGGGCAGAACCTCACGGACCACTGGTTCCTGCTGGCGTACGAGGCGGAGAAGAACGGCCTGCTCGGCGGGCCGGGCGACGGCGGCGCGGAGTACATCGAGACGGCCGCGACGCTCATCGCGGACCGGGCGGCGCAGATCGCGTCGCAGCAGGCGGCGATGTTCGGCCCCAACGCGGCCCAGTTCGTCGCGCAGCAGCGGGCTCAGGCCTACCAGATGATGAGCGAGCAGATGGTGATGCGCCGCACGCTCGCCATCCAGCAGGGCAACCCCGAGCGGGCGGTCGACCTCGCGCTCGCGAAGATGCGGTCGATCATCCGGCTGCTCGAGACGCAGCCGGGGGCGGACACGATCTCCCGCCCCGAGGCGCTGGAGTTCGCCGCGGAGCTGTTCGATACGGCGGTCGTGAAAGTGGGTGTGATCCCCGCGAACGCGAACGACGCGACGCTGCCGGAGGCGACGGAGGAGGAGATCCTCGCGCACTTCGAGCAATACAAGGATCAGCGTCGCGGCGACAACGAGCTCGGGATGGGGTACCTGCTCGAGCCGGCGGTGAAGATCGAGTTCGTGGGTGTCGACCGGCAGGTCGTGATCGACGCGCTGACGCCGACGGTGGACGAGATCGAGGTGAACAAGTTCTGGCGCGAGAACAAGGCGCGGTTCGGCGAGGACTGGTCGGCCGCGAAGGCGAGCGCGACGACGGCGTACGTGCAGGCGAAGGCAGACGAGGTTCTGGAGCGTGTGGTACGGATCGCGCAGCGTGAGATGCGCCGCGTGACGCGGAACCTGGATCGCGACGGGAAGTTCTACGTGCTGCCCGAGGGGTGGGACGAGCAGATGCTCTCGTTCACGAACCTGATCGCGGTGATCCAGCAGGAGATCTCGGACGAGTTCGGGTTCGACATGCCGATCCCGGCGTACACGCGTCCGGTGGCGAACTTCCTGGACCAGCAGGCCCTGCAGGGCCTGCGCGGGATCGGGAGCAGCGCGTGGAGCCTGAACGAGACGACGCGGATCCAGTTCCCCGAGCTGATGATGAACGTCCGGTCGCTCGACGGGAACCCGGAGTTCGGGCTGCAGGAGGACGTGGCGTTCGGCCCGCTCCGCTCGCCGACGGGCGTGTACTTCGTCCGCGTGCGCGAGGCGCGGGGCGAGGGGGCGCCGGCGGAGATCGACGAGGACCTCCGCGCGAGGATCGCGGCGGACATCCGCGCGATCAAGCAGTTCGAGGACCTCAAGGCGAGCGCGGAGGAATTCCGCTCGCGTCTGATCGCGGGGAGCTTCGACGAGGCGTTCCGCGAGATCGCGCCGGACGCGACGTTCCAGAACGTCGAGGTGACGCGTCGCGACGTGGCCCGGCCGGGCCAGGGCATCCCGGTGGCGCGGTTCGACCAGGAGCAGGTGCGCGGGGCGGTCATGGATCTCGTGCAGCAGTGGGACCCGCTGGTGGACGTGATGCGCGACCTGCCGCTCGAGGAGCGGGTGCTGGTGATCCCGCTGCCGAACGAGAAGACGCTCCTCGCGGCGATGATCACGGCGCGCCACGCGCTGACGTTCGAGGAGTTCTACGGCGCCCCGGTGTCGATCCGGGCGCTGGCGATGGAGAAGCGCGTCGACGCGCTGGAGTCGTTCCCGTTCTCGATGGACTCGCTCAAGAAGCGTCTGAAGGTCGAGTTCCTCGACCGCAAGGACGACGAGGACGAGCAGGGCGAGGGCGAGGGCGAGAGCGGCGAGACGGCGGCCGGCTGACGTCCGGGTCGAGTGTGTGATCGGATCAGGAGCGTGTGAGCTGCTCGGGGACGTCGTCGTCGAGGGTGCGGACGACGCGCCTGGCGGTGGAGGCGTCGAATCTCGGGCCGAGGCTGTCGAGCGCGCCGCGGTCGATGAGGACGCGGAGGAGGGCCTCGACGACGCGTGCGGGGGGGACGGCGCCGCGGCCCCAGAGGTCGTACTCGGCCCACCGGAGGGTGACGTCGATCGGAGCGGAGCCGTCCAGGCGGACGTCGTAGCGCCAGCCCCGGTCGGTTTCGTTCTCCTGTTCGATGCTGATGGTCGCCACCGGGCGGGCTCCTTCCGGTAGTCTTCAGTGTGGCGCCCGCGTCGGCGCTTCTCGTGGCAGGGTACCACGGGGCGAGCACAGCGGACCGAGGGCGGCGGCGGGGTGCGCGCGGAGTGCCGATGTTCATCTACGAGATCATCAAGCTTGGACTGAACAACCTCCGGCTGCACATGCTGCGGTCGTTCCTGACGGCGCTCGGGATCATCTTCGGGGTCACGAGCGTGATCGTGATGGTGAGCATCGGCGAGGGGTCGAAGCAGGCGGCGCTGGAGCAGATCGAGCGTCTGGGGGCGCGGAACATCATCATCCGGTCGGTGAAGCCGGCGGAGAGCGCCGAGCGTCAGCAGGGCCAGCAGCAGAGCTGGCAGATCTCCTACGGGATCAAGCGGACGGACCTGGACGCGATCCGGGAGCTGTTCCCGAACGCGGAACAGATCGTGCCGGTGAAATCGGTGGGGATGCAGGTGGTGCGCGGGGCGAAGCGGAAGACGTCCCAGGCGTACGGGACGACGCCGCAGCTCAAGGAGGTGGCGAACATCCGGGTGAAGCGGGGGCGGTACCTGACGCAGGACGACCTGGACAACTTTGCGCAGGTGGCGGTGATCGGGGACACGCTGGCGCGGACGTTCTTCCCGTTCGACGACCCGCTCGGGAGTACGATTCGGATCGACAGCCAGGTGTTCATGGTGATCGGGATCCTGGAGCCGGTGGGGCTCGCGGGGGGATCGGGGGCGGCGCTGGTGGGGCGGGACCTGAACGAGGACATGCACATCCCCATCACGACGGCGCGGTCGCGGTTCGGCGACGAGCTGTTCCGGCGGACGTCCGGCAGCTTCAGCGCCGAGAAGGTGGAGGTGGAGGAGATCTACTACTCCGCGTCGTCGCGCGAGACGGTGCTGCGTGACGCGGCGGGGCTCAAGCGCCTGATGAGCGTGAAGCACCCGGGGCTGAACGACATCTCGATCATCGTGCCGTTCGAGCTGCTGGAGCAGGCGGAGCGGGCGGCGCTGACGTGGCAGATCGTGCTGGGCTCGATCGCGGGGATCTCGCTGCTCGTGGGCGGGATCGGGATTATGAACATCATGCTCGCTTCGGTGACGGAGCGGACGCGGGAGATCGGGATCCGGCGGGCGCTGGGGGCGACGCGCCGGAACATCATCACGCAGTTCATCGTGGAGACGGGCGTGCTCAGCGCGATCGGGGGGCTGCTCGGGGTGGCGCTGGGGGTGGGGATCTCGGTGGGGATCAACCCGGCGTTCGAGTTCGTGAAGAAGTTCACGGAGATCGACTCCGAGCTGGCGACGCAGATCACGATGTGGTCGATCGTCCTCTCCTTCGCGGTCGCGGCGATGACGGGCCTGATCTTCGGGATCTACCCGGCGATCGTGGCGTCGAGGCAGGACCCGATCGTGGCGCTGCGGCACGACTAGATTTGATCGCTCCGTTGCGACCGTCCGGTCGCACACTCGCTCTCCCGCGCCAGCGGGGCTTTTTCGGCGGTGAGCGGAGCGGATCGCGGCTACACTCCGCCCCGTGAGTCAGACCAAACAACACAAGGGCAAGGCGGTCCGCTCGAAGGCGACGTCCGACGCGGCCCGCTCCGCCGCGATGGCGGCTGTCGCGACGCAGGTGCGGGCATTTCCGGATCTGCGTCTCGAGGCGCTGGAGGCGGAGGGCCTGAGCCCGCTGGACGCGTCGTTCGCCCACGCGGTGTACGACACGGTGGTCCGGCGGTGGCTCACCCTGCGGTTCCTGCTCGAGCGGAATCTGAATGTTCCGTTCGAGAAGCTGGAGCCGCACGTGGCCTCGGCGCTGCTCTGCGGGGCGGCGCAGGTGGTGCTGATGGACAGGGTCCCGGCGCACGCGGCGGTGAACGAGGCGGTGAACTGGGCGCGGCTTAACGCGTCGCACCGCTCGGGCGGGCTGGTGAACGCCGTCTTGCGCAAAGTGGCGGGGATGGTGGACGAGGGCGAGCCGCGGCGCGAGCGGGCGACGGACCGGCGGGACGAGCTGCCGCTCGCGGACGGCGGCGCGGTGGCGTTGAAGGAATCGATCCTCCCGGAGGAGACGGCGGAGCGGCTCGCGGTGACGACGAGCCACCCGGCGTCGCTCGTGGGGTTCTGGGCGAAATCGTTCTCGATCGATCGGGCGAAGGCGATCGCGCTGCACGGTCTGTGCCGGCCGCCGGTGATCCTGAACACGTCGTGCGCGACGGCGCCGCTCCCGGCGAGCGCCGTGCCGCACGTGCTGACGGGGCACCACGTGTTCACGGGGGAGATGTCGGCGTTGCGGGAGCTGCTGGCGTCGCGGGGCGACGTCTGGGTGCAGGACCCGGCGAGCTCGCTCGCGGCGGAGTCCGTCGTGGACATGGAGCCGAGGGTGGTGATGGACGTGTGCGCGGGGAAGGGGACGAAGACGCGCCAGCTGGCGGCGACGTTCCCGAACGCGGAGATCGTCGCGACGGACACGGACGCGGGTCGGTTCCGGGAGCTGAGCTCGGTGTTCGAGGGTTCGGCGCAGGTGCGGGTGATCCCGTTCGAGTCGAAGATGGATCACGCGGGGCGGGCGGACCTGGTACTGCTGGACGTTCCGTGCTCGAACACGGGTGTGCTGGCGCGGCGCGTGGAGGCGAAGTACCGGGTGAGCAAGCGCCGGACGGACGAGCTGGTGGATATCCAGCGTCAGATCGTTGCGGACGCGATCCCGCTGCTGCGGGACGAGGGCCGGGAGCGCGGGAAGATCCTGTATTCGACGTGCAGCCTGGACACGCGGGAGAACGAGGGGATCGCGTCGTGGGCGATCGAGTGGCACCGTTTCCGGGGCGCGCGGGAGCACCGTCGGGCGCCGGAGGGCGTTCCCGGGGGGCCGGCGGAGAAGTATTCGGACGGTTCGTACGCGGTCGTTTTGGGGTGATCGGGTGCGGAATCGCGGCGCACCGCTTCCGGGCGGCGGATCGCGTGGTAGAATGACCGAGAGAGAGTCCCTTTGTGACCGGAGTCGGTTCGAGCGGGGGGTAGTTTCCCACCATGAGTCTGCTTGAGATCCTCACACCGTCGTGCATCCGCGTGCCCCTGAAGGCCACGGACAAGAAGGGCGTGATCGATGAGCTCGTCGATCTGCTGGCGGACGCCGGGAAGGTGTCCGACCCCTCCGAGCTGAAGGAAGCCGTGTGGACGCGCGAGACGGCGCGGACCACGGGCATCGGGTATTCGCTCGCGATCCCGCACGGCAAGAGCGCGGGCGTGCCGGACCTGGCGATGGCCATCGGCAAGCCGGCGGAGCCGATCGATTTCAGCGCGATCGACAACAAGCCGGTGCGCCTGATCGTCCTGCTCGCCAGCCCACTCGACCGCACGAGCGACCACATCCAGGCGCTCGCCCGGATCAGCCGACTCATGGCGTCGGAGGAGTTCCGCTCACAGATCTACGCGGCTGAATCGCCCGAGCAGATCCACGAGCTGCTCCAGTCGCGCGAGATGGCCGGCGCGAACTCGGCGTAAGCCGAGGGCTCATCCAAGCCACTTCTGAGATTCAAAGAAAATGACGGGGCGGCTCAGTCGTCCGGTGTCGCGTCGACCGGCGTCGCGATGCGTCCGAGCAGGACGCGGCGGAGGGCCTCGCGGTCGCGGTCCGGGTCTTCCGAGTTCTCGGCGAAGATGCCGCGGAGGTTCTCGTTCACGGCGGCGCCCTGTTTCGCGACGCTTTCGGCTTCGTCCTCGGTGTGGGCGTTGGCGGAGCGGAGCTGGGCGATGGCGCTGCGGAACTCTTCGGAGGCGCGGACCTGGGCGAGGCGGGCACGGGCCTGCTCGTTAATGCGGCGCTGGTTTTCGAGGTCCTGCACGAGCTGGGAGAGCTCGGTGAGCGCGGCGTCGAGGTGCTGGGTGGAGAGGCCGCGGGCCCAGCGGATGTAGGCCTCGGAGCGGTCGGGGTCGACGCCCTTGAGGAGGACGCTCATGATGCGGCGGACCTCGTCTGGGGTTTCGTCGCTGAACTCGAGGCCGAGGTCCTCGAAGGAGAGGGTCTCGGCGGGCTGGCGTGAGGCGTTCGCGGAGTTGAGGGCGACGGTGCGGGTGGCGGAGTCGCGGGTATCGAGCTCGTCGAAAGCGAACTGTCCGTAGGCGTGCTCGACGGTGCCCAGTCGGCGGGGTGCGGAGATGCGGCCGAAGGCGGCCATGGCGAAATCCACCTGGGAGAGGCGGTCGAGGCGCTGCTGGTTGCGCGTCACCTCGGCGCGGCTCGATTCGGACGCGAGGGGGTTGATGAGCTCGTCGGACGCGGCGCTCGCCGGGCCGCCCTGGTTCTGGGCCGTGATGGCCTGCCAGTTGGCGACGGACGTTGTCTCGGCGGAGGCGATGGACGCGGCGGCCAGCGCGGAGGCGGCGCACGCGATGATGGTCCGGGTCTGGGGGCGCATGTTTCCCTATCTCTCTTTCGCGACGAGCACACCGGGGGACCCTGTGCGGGGCGGGGGACTCGAGTGCGAAGTGTCTGACTCCAGCGTCGCGGACCTGTGACTCCCGCGACACGTGTATTGTCGCCTCAAACGGCGTCAGGTCAAGGGGCGAGGCGGCGCGATCGCGGAATCCGGTCGGTTCTGTGGGCTGGACGGGTAAGTCCGGGACGGGGCCGATAATGCCCGCCCGCGGGGCGAAAACGCCGATGAGGGGGTGGCATGGCGAACGCACGCGGAGAACAGCCGGTCGGGGCGGGCCTGACGCGTCGGATCGGGCCGATTCTGGTCGTCCTCCTGGCGGCGCTGGGGGCGTACTGGCCTTCGTTCGGCGGGGCGTTCGTGTACGACGATCTGTCGAACATCGTGGACAACCCGGTGATTCGTCAGCTCTGGCCGCCAGACCCCTGGCTGGACGTCGGGCGGCGGCCGCTGGTGAACCTGACCTTCGCGCTGAACTACGCGGCCGGGGGTCTGGAGGTGTGGGGGTGGCACGCGGTGAACTTCGCGGTGCACGCGTGCGTGTGCCTGGCGCTGCTCGGGCTCGTGCGCCGGGCGTGCGAGTTGAGGGGGATGGAGCCGCGCTCGGCGCGGACGGTGGCGTTCTGCTCGGCGCTGCTCTTCGCGGTGCACCCGCTCGGGACGCAGGGGGTGACGTACGTCGTGCAGCGGAGCGAGTCGATGATGGCGCTGTTTTATGTGCTCATGCTGTGGGCGCTGGCGCGGTCGGGCGGGTCCGAGCGGGCGTGGCTCTGGCTCTCGCTCTCGGTGGTGTGCTGCACGCTCGGGATGGCGAGCAAGGCGGTGATGGTGACGGCGCCGGTCGCGGCGGTGGTGTTCGATCGGCTCTTCCTGGCGGGGTCGTGGCGGGAGGTGGCGCGGTCGCGGTGGGGGTATTACACGGGGTTGCTCGCGTCCGCGTCGGTGCTCGTGTTCTGGGATGTGGTGGAGGGGATCATCCAGCCGCCCCCGGAGTTCGAGGCGACGGTGGGGTTCGCGTACGAGGGGATCACGCCGCTGGAGTACCTGTTGGCGCAGGGCGGGGTGATATTGCACTACCTGCGGCTCGTGTTCGTGCCGACGGGGCTGCGGATCGACTACGCGTGGGACCGGCCGGGGACGGTCGCGTCGGCGTTGCCCGCGGTGCTTGCCGTGGGGGCTATGTTCCTGGCGAGCGCGTGGTTCGCGCTGGTGAAGCAGCGGGCGTGGGCGTTCTGCGGGCTGGCGTTCTTCCTGATCCTGGGGCCGACGTCGAGCTTCGTGCCGATCAAGCACCTGGCGTTCGAGCACCGGATGTACCTGCCGCTGGCGTGCGTGCTTGTGCTTTTCGTGCTCGGCGTGCGTGCGGTGTCGCGTCGGGCCGGTTGGCGGGCGGACGCGGTGACGGTGGGGCTCTGCGTGGTACTGAGCCTGCCCTGGGCGGCGCTGACGTTCGCGCGGAACGCGCAGTACCGGGACCCGCTCGCGCTGTGGGAGCAGAACACGCTGCTCGAGCCGGACAGCCCGGCGGCGTGGACGAACCTCGCGAACGAGCAGCGGGATGCGGGGGATCCGGAAGCGGCGCTGTCGTCGTACCGCCTCGCGGCGGGGCTGGACCCGCGCGTCGCGTCGCGGTGGATGCGAGTGGGGCTGCTCGCGAGCGAGCTGGGGGACCGGACGCTCGCGGTGTCGTCGATCGCGACGGCGGTGGAGCTGATCGACGAGAAGGTGTCGCGTTCGCACCCGGACCTGCAGCGGGTGCTGCGGCGGGAGCAGCGGTTCGCGTGGACGAGCCTCGCGGGGGTGCTCCTTCGTGATGGGCGTCGGGAGGAGGCGCGGGCGGCGTTCGCGCGGGCGATCGAGATCGATTCGGACGAGATCCCGGGGGCGGAGCGGGCGGTGGCGCTGGCGGGGTTGGGGTCGCTGTATCAGACGGACGAGCGGTACGAGCGGGCGATCGCGTTGTACCGCGAGGCGCTGGAGAACGATCCGGGGAATGAGGTGTACGAGCGTCGGTACGCGCTGTGCCTGCAGCTGGAGTCGCTTCAGTCGCCGTGATGCGTCTCGTATTCGCTGTAGTGGCGGCCGAAAGCGCCGACGGTGAGGCCGGCGGCGTAGGCGATCCAGCGGAGCTGGCGGATGGCGACGTGCTTGCCGAGGAGGCACGCGGGGAGGAGGCAGATCGCGCCCTGGAGCGATCGCGCGAGAGCGGTCGCGAGGACGCGGGCGCGGCCTTTGAATGCGCCTTCGAGTCGGATCGCGTGGTCGGCGATGTTGGTCCCGACTCTGTAGGCGCGCCGGCAGATCCACTTCGGGGCGATGCGTGTCGCGGGGATGTCCTCGTGCACGACGGCCTCGTCGCACCAGAGGATGGCGTGGCCGGCGTCGTGGATTCTTCGGAAGAGGAAGGTGTCCGCGCCGCCGCGCAGGGCGGCGGACTCGTCGAAGACGGGGTCCATCGCGCGGACCGTGGCGGCGCGGGCGAGGGTGTTGTTGGTGTAGGCGCGGTTGCGGGGCGTGCCGGTCGGGAAGCGGCGGCGCTGGAAGAAGCGTCCCCGTCTCGCCCAGTCTGGCGCGTCGTCGGGGAGGTGGGCGACGATGGGGCCGGCGACGACGTCCGCCCCGGTCGCGCGCTGGTAGGTCAGGAGGGTGTCGAGCCAGTCTGGTTCGGCGTGCTCGTCGTCGTCGATGAAGACGAGCCACTCGGCGCTGGCCGGCGCGGCGGCGACGCTCGCGTTGCGGGCCTGGGAGATGCCCCGGATCGGCTGGTGGGTGTAGATCAGCTCGTGCGGGCTCTGGAGAGCGGCGATCAGGGGCTCGGCGGAGCGGTCGGAGTCGTTGTCCGCGACGACGACGGTGATCCGCGGGGCGTCGGACGCGAAGGTCTGCGCGTCGAGCGAGCGCAGGAGCTTGGCGAGGCCCTTGGGGCGCTTGTAGGTGGCGATGCAGACGGCGACGTGGGCGGGCTCGGGCACGGCGTGAGGATAGCGGAGGGCCGGGCGGGGGCGCGTCGAGTATCGTGTGGCGCGTGGATCGCCGGACCCTTCAACGCGTTGTGTTCTTCGTCTTCCTCGCGTCGACGCTTGTGCCGTTCGTCGAGGCGTGGATGGCGTTGATCCTGGGGGCGGTCGTGGGGCAGCTCCTGGGCAACCCGTACGCGTCGTCGACGGGCACGTGGAGCAAGAAGCTGCTCCAGCTGTCGGTGATGCTGCTCGGGTTCGGGCTCACGTACCAGGAGATCGCGACCGTCGGGAGGGACGCGGCGGTGTACACGTTCGTCGGGATCTCGCTGACGCTCGCGCTGGGGTGGGCGCTGAACAAGGCGATCAAGGGGGACGGGGTGACGTCGTTCCTCGTGACCGTGGGGACGGCGATCTGCGGGGGGAGCGCGATCGCGGCGGTCGCTCCGGCGGTGCAGGCGGAGGACAAGCAGACGGGCGTGGCGCTCTCGACGGTGTTCACGCTCAACGCGGTCGCGCTGCTGCTCTTCCCGGTGATCGGGCACGCGCTGGAGATGGAGCAGGGGGCGTTCGGGGTGTGGGCGGCGATGGCGATCCACGACACGTCGAGCGTGGTCGCGGCGACGGACACGTACGGGGACGAGGCGCTGAAGATCGGGACGACGGTGAAGCTGACGCGGGCGCTGTGGATCATCCCGCTCGCGCTGATCGCGGGGTTCGCGCTGAAGCACAAGGGGAAGGCGAAGTTCCCGTGGTTCCTGCTCGGGTTCATCGGGGCGGCGGTCCTGGCGAGCGTGTTTCCGGATCCTCGGTGGGAGTGGGGCTACATCGCGGGCAAGCGGGTGCTGGTCGTGACCATTTTTCTGGTCGGCTGCGGGCTGACGCGGGAGGTGCTGCGGAAGGCGGGGCCGCGTCCGCTGGCGCTGGGGGTGGCGCTGTGGGTGATCGTGAGCGTGGGGAGCCTGCTGGCGATCCGTGCGGGGCTCGTTCCGATTTCGATGTGACGACCGCGCGTATGATTGGGGCATGAACGACCCGGCACAGGCGATGGAAACGAAGACGTACGCGGTCCGCGGGATGCACTGCGAGGCGTGCACGAAGACGGTGCGCGAGAAGCTCGAGGCGCTGGAGGGGGTGGACCGCGCCGAGGTATCGCTCGCGGAGAACGAAGCGCACGTGACGCTTTCGAGCGACGTATCGATCGGAGACCTGAACGACGCGCTGGCCGGAACGGATTACGTCCTCGACCGCGAGCGCGACGAAGCGGAAGAGGAAGTGCCCGCCCCGAAACCGAAGAAGCCGGGCAGAGAGGCGGTGGAGGAGCCGAAGGAGCCGCTTTCCAAGCGGCTCTGGCCGCTCATCCTGCTCGTGGGCTACCTGATCGTCGTGCCCGGAGTGCTCGCGCTGTTCCGAGGGGAGTGGACGGCGACAGCGCACATGCGTCAGTTCATGGGCGGGTTCTTCATCGCGTTCTCGTTCTTCAAGCTGCTCGATCTGCGCGGGTTCGTGGGGGCGTACCGGGGGTACGACCTCGTGGCCGGTGCGTTCCCGCCCTACGCGTGGTTCTACCCGTTCATCGAGCTGGCGATCGGGATCCTGTACCTCGCGTTCGCGACGGCGACGGTCGTGGCGCAGGTCCTCAACGGGGTGGTGATCGTGCTGATGCTCGTCGGGCTCGTGGGCGTGGTGCGGGCGATCCTGAGACCGGGCCACGTGCGGTGCGCGTGCATGGGGACGGTGCTCAACCTGCCGATGACGTGGGTGACGTTCACGGAGAACGCCGCGATGGCGGCGATGGCGGGGTTCATGCTGTACCGTTCGCTCGTGCCCGGGGCGTGAGGCCGGGTCGAATCGGAGAGGACCATGGCGGAGCAGAGCGGGGGCGAGCTGAGGCGCGAGGTCGGGCTCGTGGGCGCGGTGCTGCTCGGGCTGGGCTCGATCATGGGGACGGGGGTGTTCGTTTCGGTGGCGCTGGGGGTTCGGCTCGCGGGTGAGTGGGTGGTCGGGGCACTGGCTCTCGCGGGGGCGCTCGCGGCGTGCAACGCGCTGAGCAGCGCGCAGCTCGCGGCCGCGCACCCGGTGAGCGGGGGGACGTACGAGTACGGGAACCGGTTGCTCGGCCCGCGCGCCGGGTTCACGGCCGGGTGGATGTTCCTGCTCGCCAAGAGCGCGAGCGCGGCGACGGCGGCGCTGGGATTCGCGGGGTACGTGCTGGGGCTCGTCGGGATCGACGCGGGGCGGTGGATGTTTGCGGGCGTGGCGGTGGGGTGCGTCCTCGCGCTGACGGTGTGCGTGCTCGCGGGTGTGCGGCGGTCCAACGCGGTGAACGCGGCGCTCGTGGTGATCACGCTGGGGGCGCTGTGGGTGTTTGTCGCACTGGCGATGGTGAAATGCGGCGGCCACACTTCGGAGGTGTCTGAGCTTCCGGGGGCGCCGTCGTTCCTGCAGGCGTGCGCGCTGATGTTCGTGGCGTACACGGGGTACGGGCGGATCGCGACGCTCGGGGAGGAGGTGCGCGAGCCGCGCCGGACGATCCCGCGGGCGATCGTGGTGACGATCGTGGTGACGGTCTTTGTTTACGTCGCGGTGGCGCTCGCGGGGGTGCGCGGGGCGGGGGTCGAGGCGTTCGGGCTGAGCGCCGCGCCGCTCGAGGACGCGGCGCGGGCGATGGGGAGCGAATCGGTGGCGCTCGTCGTCGCGGTCGGGGCGTGCGTGGCGATGCTCGGGGTGCTGCTCAACCTGATCCTGGGGCTGTCGCGTGTTCTTCTCGCGATGGGGCGGCGGGGGGATGCACCAAAGGTGTTCGCGCGGGTGACGGGCGGGTCGCCGGCGACGGCGGTGCTCGCGGTGGGCGCGGTGATCGCGGGCCTCGCGCTGATCGGGGACGTGAAGACGACGTGGAGCTTCTCCGCGTTCACGGTGCTCGTGTACTACGCGATCACGAACGCGTGCGCGCTGCGGCTGCCGAAAGAAGACCGGCTGTACCCGCGGGCGATCTCGTGGATCGGGCTGGTCTCATGCGTCGGGCTCGCGTTCTGGGTGGAGATCGGGGTGTGGGCCATGGGGCTCGGGCTCGTTGCGGTCGGGCTCGTGTACCACGGGGTGGTCTCCCGCCGACGCGCGGGCTGAGAGGCGGCCGTAGATCAGGGCGATGGCGAGCATGAGCAGGCCGAGGCCCAGGAAGATGACGACGCGCCACGCGGTCTGGACCTGGAAGAGGTCGTAGATCAGGGCCTTGCCCGCGGCGCGGGCGATGAGGCCCAGCGCGGCGGTGCGGACGGGGGTGAGCCGTTTGAGGAAGCCGATGACGAGGAGGGGGATCGCGAAGAGCGCCCACCAGATGGACAGGACGGCGCGCTGGGTCTGCTCGGAGTCCGCGATGATCTCGGCGCCGCGGGCGACCTCGAGGGAGGTGGTGAAGAGGACGAGGAGCGTGGCGAGCGCGGCGGGCGCGGCGACGAGGGTGGCGCGGCCGTCCTCGTCCTCGCGCGGGACGGCGCGGTGGTGGACCCACGCGACCGCGCCGGCGAGCGCGGCGACGACGAGGGAGGTGAGCAGGCCCGGGTGGAGGGCGACGGGGGCGTCGCTCGTCTGCCAGGGGGTGTCGGAGAAGTGGGCCTTCGCCCAGGGGACGAGGCTCGCGCCGAGGACGCCCAGGGCGAGGGTGGTGAAGGGGACGAGGCGCATCGCGGCACCGATCGCGCCGGCCAGAAGGGCGAGGGCGATCCACGCGCCGGCGACCCAGGAGGCGGGGGTCATCGAGTTGACGACGGTGAGCCCGAAGAGCCCGGCGGCGATCACGAGGCAGGCGAGCGCGGGCTGTTTCGTACGGCAAGACCACGCGACGACGCCCCACGCGAGCGCGTTGAGCGCGAGCATGAGCGAGCCGCGGGTGAGGAAGAGCTCGCCCAGCTCGACGTGCGGGGTGGCGGCGTCCGGCGTCCAGGGGGTGAGCAGGGCGGTGTGCGCGAGGCCGATGGCGAGGGTGATGAGGCCGAAGGGGGCGAGGCGGTGCGCGCCGGTGAGGCGGCGGGCGACCATCGCGCCGGCGCCGAGGGCGAGCCAGCAGGTGACGGTGAGCCACTGGGTGGTGGCGAGGGCGACGGTGAGGAGCAGCAGCGCGCCGGCCTGCGCGACGTGCGCGAGGGCGACGCGTTCGAGCTGCGTCTCGGGGGCGTCGCGGAGCGAGCGGAGCGTGCCGGAGAAGACCTGCGCGACGGCGAGGCTGCCCACGCCGAACGCGGCGGGGACGATCCAGTCGAGCGAGCGGTCGAGCTCGACCATGCACACGAGGCCGAGGAGCGTGGCCCACGCGCCGACGACGACGGACGCGGCGAAGGGGACGGTGGCGCGTCGGGTGCTCGCGGGTTCTTCGGTGGACGTTGCGGCGCGGAAGATGAGCGAGGCGTTGGTGAGCGCCCAGGTGCCGGTGACGAGGAGGAGGGACCAGTATTCGTGGTGGCGGACGAGGGCGAGGAGCCACGTGGCGCTGACAGGGAGGTGGAAGCACCAGGCGATCGTGCCCAGGGCGCTGAAGCGGAGGGCTTTGAAAGAGGACGCGACGAGCGCGCCGGCGAGGAGGGCGAGGCAGTAGGGGATGACGAGGCCGGGGCGGGCGAGGCCGTCGAGCATGAAGAGGTACGTCGCGAGGTAGCCGCAGGCGACGGAGAAGCCGGCGACGGAGACGTACCGCGCGCGGACGGCGATGATCACGCCCAGGACGCCGGTGCCCGCGAGGAACGTGAACGCGAGGGGCGTGGAGATGAGGTCGAAGCGCGTGAGCGCGACGAGCGCGGTGATGATGAGTGTGGAGAGGCCGGCGATGTTGAGGCCGACGGCGGTAAGGGCGTTGATCTTGCGCCGGGCGAACTCGGCGCCGGCGAGGAGCGCGAGGCCGAAGACGGCGGCGGAGAAGCAGCGGCCGGCGGGGGAGAGGGCGATCCAGCCGTTGTCCCACGCGAGCTTGATGAAGAAGGTGACGCCCAGGACGACGATGAGCGCCCCGGCGATGGCGAAGACGCGCCCGCCGATGAACTGCTCGAGGCTCGGTCGCTCGGCCTCGGGCTCGCGCCTCGGGATCATCTCGCGCGTTTTGACGATTCGCTGTTCGGGCGGCTCGGCGATGAGCTGCGTCGGTGGCGGCGGGGCCTGGGCCGGCTCGCGGCGGGTCGGCGGGTGGGGCGCGGGCGGGGTCTCGGGCTCGGCGGCCTCGAGGGGTGGGATGCCGAGGCGGGACTCGATGTGCTCGAGGCGTGCCTCGATCAGGCGCAGGCGGGTGAGCATGGAGAGGGGCTGTTGGGACATGGCGAACCTCCGCCTTCAAGATAGTTAGCACTAGCTTACTTGCAAGGGACTTGCTCGGATTTCGGGTGGACAGATTTCGCAGGTGGGTGATTTCGAGCTTCTGGTGGGTGGTTTCGCGAGTGTTCTCGGACGCGCACGAAAAAACCGCCGGGCGGAGCCGGCGGTCAGGAAGGGAGGATTGCGGGGTCGGATGGTCCGGGGAGGTTGGCCTGGCGTTACTCGCAGGGGCCGAAGAGGAACAGGGTGGTGACGAGGTCGTTGAAATCGACGGTTCCTGAGCCGTCCGGGTCGCACTCGGGCGAGGTCCCGGGTCCGAAGTTGAAGAGCATGGTGACGAGGTCGTTGAAGTCGACGATGCCGTTGCCGTCGCAGTCGCCCGGGCAGGGGAGGTCGGAGGGCGTGAAGTTGTCGGTGACCGTGAGCTTCACGTTGTCGATGGAGATGCCCGGGGTGACGCCGCCGACGAAGATGTCGATCTGGACGACGCCGTCGGCGAGGATGGCGTCGAGTTGGGGGAGGTCGAGGTAGTCGGGCAGGAAGAGCGTGAGCCGCTGCGAGACGATCGCGGGCCCCGGGAAGGGCGGGAGGAGGAGGGGCTGGTCCACGCCGTCGAAGGCGCCCTCGAGCTCGATGCCCTCGATGAAGACCTTGGTGTCGTTGACCGGGTCGATGTCCGCGAGACCGGCGATCTGCATCTCGATCCACGCGTCCAGGAGGTCGGGGAGGAGCCCCGGTTCGGGCAGCGGGAGGTCGAAGAACGCGGGCGAACCGTTCGGCAGGAACGTGTCGGTGAAGGGCGGGTCCGAGGGCGTCGGGGTGATATCGATCGGGTCGATGTAGAGCCAGCGCCCACGCGGGAGGATGTGCGGCTGCATCGTCGAGCGGAGCTTCTTGGCCTGGTTGGTCGCGTCCTCGACGGGGTCGCCGGTGGGGGGCTGCTCCTCGCCTGTTCCGTGGGAATCGCGGTCGCCGGCTTTGGACGTGCGGGTTCTGGGTTCGGAATTCACTTTCTCCGGGAGGGTGCCCTCGAGCTTGCGCCGGGCGTCGGTCGCGGCGGGGTCGCCCATGCCGGTGTCGGAGAGGCCGTCGGTGAAGTCCTTGTCCATGCCGTAGTTGGAAAGGTTGAGCTCGCCCATGATCGAGCCCTTGATGCCGTCGTCGTGCTCGAGGCCGAGGAGGTGCCCGAGTTCGTGGGACATGGTGTGGGCGAGCTGGATCTTGTTCCGCTCGGGTGTGCCCTCGTCGTGGGCGCCGACGAAGACCCAGGCGCCCTTGTTGGCGTTCATGTTGCCCTCGTCGATCTCCTGCGCGATGCCGAGGATGTTCTCGCCGGAGGGGAAGTCCAGTTCGTCGAGGCAGATGGGCATGCCGTCGGGTCCGTTGATGGGCATGCCGGCCTGGTTGACGAGCTTCTTTGTTTCGAGATCGATGAAGGTGTTGGTGTCGCCGATCTGGATGCGGTTCATCGAGACGTCGTAGTGGTACTCGGTGCCGCCGATGGTCATATTCCAGTCGGGGAATCCGCCGGTCACAACGTTGATGGTCGTGAACACGCCCTCTTTGGGCTGCTCGGTGACGAAGTCGATGTTCAGGTCGGCGTAGTCCTCTTCGATCATGGCGACGATGGAGGCGATGCACGCGGCCCGGTTGTCGTTGTTCGGGAAGCCGAGGTCGGTCGGCCGGAAGCCGACGCGGGCGCCCTTCTTGAGGGTGAGGAGCGTGCCGCCGTCCTCGTTGCAGATGTCCTGGTCGTCCTTCTCGACGGCGTCGCCGACGGTGCCGAAGTTGAGGAAGACGATCTGCTCGGCGGACGCCGATGAGACGATGGCGAGCGAGAGGAACGCGGCGATCTTTGCGGGGTGCATGGCGGGTCTCCTGAAGTCTGGGTTCCGTGAATGGCCGCTCGAATTTGTGGCCTGGTCCCCGGACGTACTGGAGCGCAGCGACCCCACTCTCGCGCGCCGTCGCACGAAATGAGCGGGAAATACGAGGAAAATGCGAAAAAAACGGCGTGATCGCCCCGGAAGGCTCGAGGGCGTGGATCGATCGACGCGGGATCAGCCGCGGAGCGTCTTCGTGATCGACTTCTCGTGGAGCGGCACGGAGGCCTCGTCGAGCGCCTGCTTCGCCCGGTGGAAGGCGTTGGGGTCGACGGAGCGCCAGTCGGCGTCGGCGTTGTTCACGAAGGTGCGCAGGGTTTCGAGGTTCGAAGTGATCGCGTCGCGTTGCGCGTCGGTGAGCTCGTCACCCGCGGTGGCGAGCTTGTCGTCGATCCATTTGAGGTCGAGCTTCGCGTTGGTGACGAGGTCGACGACGCGGTGGCGCGTCATGTCGTCGCGGGCGTGCTCGAGGGACTCGCGCTCCATGCGGTCGACCTCGTCCTTCGTCAGCCCGTGGTTGGGGACGATCTGCACGTGCGCGTTCGCGCCGGAGCGGTGCTCGAGGGCGCTGACGGAAAGGATGCCGTTGGCGTCGACGAGGAACTCGACTTCGAGCTTGGGGATGCCGGCGGGCATGGGGGGGATGTTCGTGAGGTGGAAGACTCCCAGAGAGCGGCAGTCCTCGACCATCTCGCGCTCGCCCTGGAGGACGTTGAGCTTGATGGAGGTCTGGCCGTCGACGGACGTCGAGAAGAGCTCGGTGGCGCGCGCGGGGACGGTGGAGTTGCGGACGATGAGCTTGGCGACGGCGCCGCCCACGGTCTCGATGCCGAGAGAGAGGGGCAGGACGTCCAGGAGCAGGGCGTCCGTGCGCGCGCCGGCGATGACGGCGGCCTGCACCGCGGCGCCGAGGGCGACGACCTGGTCCGGGTCGAGCGCGGTGTAGGGCTCGGCCCCGAAGAACTCGCCGACGAGGACGCGGACGCGCGGGATGCGCGTCGAGCCGCCGACCATGACGACGCGGTCGATGTCGTCCGCCTTGAGTTTCGCGTCCTTGAGCGCTCGGGTGCAGGCGGCGATGGTGCGCTGCGCCCAGGGCTCGATCATGGCCTCGAATTCGGAGCGATTGAGGGTGCGCTCGTAGGTGTGCTCGTCGAGCTGGATGGAGAGGCGCGCTTCGGGCTCTTTCGAGAGGCGGATCTTGGTCTGCTCGGCGAGCATGCGGAGGGCCTGGCGCGTGCTGGGCGGGAAGCGGAGTTCTCGGCCGAGCTGCTCGCTCGCCTCGCGGGTGACGAGGTCCTCGATGAGGCGGTCGGCGTCGTCGCCCCCGAGCTGGGTGTCGCCGGCGGTGGCCAGGACCTGGAAGAAGTCCGTGGCGTCCTCGCTGTCTTCCCCCCCGGAATCTTCGCGGGGGATGACGCGGAGGATGGAGATGTCGAAGGTGCCGCCGCCCAGGTCGTAGACGGCGATGGTCTGCGGGTCTTTGTTCGTCACGCCGATGCCGTAGGCGAGGGCCGCGGCGGTGGGCTCGTTGACGATGCGGACGACGTCGAGCCCGGCGATGCGGCCGGCGTCGCGGGTGGCCTGGCGCTGGGCGTCGTCGAAGTAGGCGGGGACGGTGACGACGGCTTTGCTCACCTCGCGTCCGAGTGCTTTCTCGGCCCGCGCGCGCAGGGCGCGGAGGATGGCGGCGGAGACCTCCTGCGGGGTGACGGTCGTGTCGGTGCCCGGGAAGGCGATGCGGACGGTGTTCGCGGGGCCTTCTTCGATGGCGTAGGGCGGGTCGAATCCGCTCGCGCGGATATCTGCCAGGGAGCGACCCATGAGGCGCTTCGCGGAGTGGACGGTGGTCTCGGGGTATTCGACGGCGTGGTCGCGGGCGGTGTCGCCCACGGCGACGGGCTCGCCGATTGGCGAGTAGCGGACGACGGAGGGCATCATCGGGCGCTCGGACTCGGCGAAGAGGATGCGCGGCTCGGCGTTCTCGTAGACGGCGACGAGCGAGTTGGTGGTGCCGAGGTCGATGCCGAGGATGGGGGTGGCGGGGGGGTCAGTTGTCGTCGGCGGGGTCGTCATCGGGCGCTAGGGTAGGCGCGGCCGACGGTTCGGGCGACTTTTCGACGAGGTGATCCTCGACGTAGCGCTGGATGTAGATCGGCCTCCACGCGGCATGATCCGGGTTGAATGTGATGATCCGGTCCGCGGCGAGCCTGGTGCTTCCGGTTGAACCGGGGGTGTACGCGAGCGTGCGCTCGTTGAAGGGGCCGCCGTAGATGATGGCGTCGGTGTTGTCGGCGAGGGTGATGCCGCCGGCGTTGCGTGTGGTGTGCAGCAGGAGTTCGTCGGGGCGGATTTTGAACGGGGTGTCGTCGCCCGGCTTGAGTTCGAGAGTGAAATATTGATTGCCGTCGGTGGGGAGGTGCAGGGCGTACGTCGGCGGGAGCGTGGGCGTCGAGGCCGGCGCGAGGGCGTCCTTCGCGACGGGGGAGAGCGAGGCGGCGGTGAGGGCGGCGGCGAAGGTGAGCGTGCTGGCCATCGTGGGCTCCTTCCCCCCGGAAGGTGTCGGTTGCGGGTGCGTGCGGGCCTCTTCCTCACCTTATACGCGTGGGACGGTATCCTGTTGCCCCCATGCTGATGTCGATGAAATGGTTGAACGCCCACCTCTCCCCGGGCGATGTCGGTCCTGACGAGGCGGAACGCGTGCTCACGCAGTGCGGGTTCCCGATCGAGGGGCGGGAAGAGATCGAGGGGGACGTGGTTCTGGACGTGGAACTGACGTCCAACCGCGGGGATTGCCTGTCTCACCTGGGCCTGGCGCGGGAGATCGCGTCGGTGACGGGGCGGGGGCTGGTGGACCCGACGAAGCTCGATGCGAAGGCGTCCGGGGGGTCGGGTGATTCATCGTTCACGGGCATCGAGAACCGGGTGGCGTCGATGGGGGCGTGCCCGCGGTTCACGGCTCGGCTCATCCGGGGCGTGAAGGTGGAGCCGAGCCCGGAGTGGATGCAGCAGGCGCTCAAGCGGATCGGTCTGCGGCCGATCAACTCGGTGGTGGACATCTCGAACTACGTCCTCTTCGAGTTGGGGCACCCGAACCATGTCTTCGATTTCGCGACGCTCAGGGGCGGCGGATTGATCATCCGCAACGCGGAGGCGGGCGAGACGGTGGTGGGGCTCGATGAAGAGAAGCACAAGCTGGTGCCGAGCGATCTGGTGGTCGCGGACCGCGAGCGGGTCGTGTCGGTCGCGGGCGTGATCGGCGGGCTCGAGACCGGGGTGACGCAGAAGACGACGGACGTGCTCGTCGAGGTCGCGACGTGGCACCCGGTGACGGTGCGGAACACGGCACGCCGGCTCGGCATCACGACGGACGCGTGCTACCGCTTCGAGCGGTTCGTGGACCCGCGCGATCTGGCGCACGCGAACGATCGGGTGTGCCAGCTCATCCTGGAGATCGCGGGGGGCGAGCTCGTCGGCGAGATGGCGGACGAGGGGATCGAGACGGAGCCCCTCCGCGTGGTCGACCTCCGCGCGGCGCGGTGCGAGCACAAGCTCGGGATCTCCGTGCCCGTCGAGGAGATGGAGCGGCTGCTCTCGACGATCGGGATGGGGGTGAAGGCGAAGGGCTTCGGCGCGGAGGCGGTGCTCTCGTGCACGATCCCCGCGCACCGCCACGACGTGACGCGCGAGGTGGACCTGATCGAGGAGATCCTGCGCCTGCACGGGATGGACAACGTCCCGGTGGCGCACACGATCGAGATCCACCTGAACCTGGACCACCCCACGGCGTGGACGAAGCGCGAGAAGGCGCTGGAGATCATCGGGAACACGCTCACGGGGATGGGGTTCTACGAGACCGTGACGTTCAGCTTCCTGCCCGAGGCGCAGGCGAGGCCGTTCGTCCCGGGTGGGATGCGTCTGCTCAAGGTGGACGAGGAACGCCGCAAGGGGGCGCCGTTCCTGCGCCCGAGCGTGGTCCCGAGCCTGATGACGTGCCGCAAGGCGAACCAGGACGGGCAGGTCGTCCGCGATGGGGGCGTGCGGCTCTTCGAGATCGCGGACGTGTTCGGCGAGGTGGACGACGGTGAGAAGTTCGGCCGGCAGACGGTCGAGAACCGGAACCTGACGCTGCTCGTGGATTCGTCGAAGAAGGCGGAGGGGAAGCAGAACGCGATCCGTCTGCTCCGCGGCGCGATCGAGGCGCTGGGCTCGGCGTTGGGCGGTGAAACGGTGCGTGTCGAGATCAAGCCGTGCGACGCGTGGTGCGAGGGGTACGAGGCGGGGACGACGGGGTCGGTGGTGATCAACGGGGCGCACGCGGGGGTGCTCGGCGCGGTGGACGCGAAGCTCGCCTCGTCGTACGGGCTCGACGCGCCGGTGGCGGGGGCGGAGATCAACCTCGCGTCGCTCGTCGCGCTGTACCCGGCGACGAACAAGGCGCACGCGCTGCCGACGTTCCCCGCGATCGAGCGCGACCTGAGCGTGATCGTGAGCGAGGACACGGCCTGGGGGGCGATCGACGAGGTGGTGGGGGCCCAGTCGCTCGCCAAGCTCGAGGCGGTGGACTTCGTGGGGGTCTTCCGCGGGAATCAGGTGGGCGAGGGGAAGAAATCCGTGACGTTCCGGCTCACGTTCCGGGACGAGGCCCGGACGCTCCGCCACGAGGAGGTCGACCCGCAGGTGGACTCGCTCGTTTCGGCCCTCGCGGAACAGGTCGGAGCGGAGCTTCGGGCGTAAATCGACGCAGAAGCCGTCGGAATCGACACATATCGACGCATGTTCGCGTGAGTACGCGGACGCGGAATGTGTGAGAACACGCGAATTCCGAACGCGAAACCCGCGTTCGGCGTATACTCGTGCGGCTCCGGATCGCTCCTGGCATGGACGCGGCCACCCGGAGCCCCGGCTTCGGAGCGAGGCCGGCCGGCACACGCACCAGAAGAAGGAGCTTTTGATGTCCAGCGCCCAAGCCTCGGGAGCCACCACGGTCGAAAACGCGACGGCGACGTCCGAGGACCGCCCGTTCATCTGGATCGACGGCAAGCTCCTGCCCAAGTCGCAGGCGACGGTCAGCGTGTTCGACCACGGCTTCCTCTACGGCGACGGCTGCTTCGAGGGCATCCGTGTCTACAAGGGCGTGATCTTCAAGTGCCAGTCGCACCTGGACCGGATCTACCGCAACGCCGAGCGTCTGCGGATGAAGATGCCGCAGACCCCGGATCAGATGCGCGAGATCATGGAGGAGACGGTCGCTGCGAACGAGCTGACGGACGGGTACATCCGCCTGATCTTCTCGCGCGGCGTGGGGACGCTCGGCCTCAACCCGTTCCAGTGCCCGACGCCGACGGTGGTGTGCATCGCGGACCAGATCCGCCTCTACCCCGAGGAGATGTACACGAAGGGGATGAAGATCATCGTCGCGAAGCGTCCGCGGACGCCGACGGCGTGCCTGGACCCGACGCTCAAGAGCCTGAACTACCTGAACAACATCCTGGCGAAGGTCGAGGCGATCGACGCGGGGTGCCTCGAGGCGATCATGCTCTCGACGGACGGCTACGTCGGCGAGTGCACGGGCGACAACCTGTTCATTGTCAAGGGGGGCGAGGTCTTCACCTCGCCGCTCGAGGTGGGGATGCTCGATGGCATCACGCGGGCGTTCGTGATGAAGACGCTCTGCCCGAAGCTCGGCGTGAAGCTCACCGAGAAGAAGCTGACGCTCGACGACGTCTACGACGCGGACGAGATCTTCCTCACCGGCAGCGCGGCGGAGATCATCGCCGTGACGCAGGTTGAGGACAAGGTCATCTCCGACGGCGAGGGCGAGGTCACGGGCAAGCTCCGCGGCGCGTTCCGCGCGATCGTGACGGGCGACGACATCCCGGTGGATTGAGCGGGTGGACGAGACGCCGGCCGACCAGCAAGACCAGGGCCACGTTCCTCAGGCGGAGCGTGGCCTTTCTCGTTGGCTGGACGTGCTGCTCGTGATCGTGGCGGTGCCGATCGCGCTGATGATCGAGGCGATCATGTCGATCGTCTTCGGCGGGTACGGCGACGAGGGGAGCGGGGGCGTGAGCGAGCAGGTGTACGGCTCGCTCTGGTACGTGACGTCGTGGATCCCCACGTTCGCGATCCTGGCATACTTGATGATCTCGCGTGGGGAATCGTGGGCGCGGTTCGGGTTCACCCGGTTCCGAATCGGCGTGGACGGCTCGGTCGGGCTGCTCTGTGCGCTGGTGTGGTTCGCGTCGTACTTCTTTGTCGCCGTCGTGTTCTCGGTCTCCGGGCTCTGGATGGTCGACGGGTGGCTCGGCGTGTACGCCGACTACGAGGCGATCGAATACGCGACGCCCTCGGGGTGGGTGTGGGCGATCGTCGCGGCGGGGACGCTCGTGAGCGCCTTCGCCGAGGAGTGGGTCTTCCGCTCGTACCTGCTCACGCGGATGTGCGACGAGGGGATGGGTTCCGCGCGGGCGGTGCTCTGCTCGTCGGCGCTGTTCGCGACGTACCACATCTACCAGGGCGTCGAGGCGTTCGTGGACATCTTCGTGAGCGGGTGCCTGTTCGCGATGGTCTTCCTGTGCCTGCGCCGGATCTGGCCGCTCGTGATCGCGCACTTCCTGTGGAACATGTGGGTGACGATGAGCTACGGGTTCTAGAACCGCTTGTGCGCCGGTTTCTGCGCCGGTCCGGTCGACTTGAGGATGAGCCTCGCGTGGTGCAGGTCGGCGGGGCGGGTGATTTTGATGTTCAGCGGGTCGCCCTCGACGACGACGACGGGCTCGCCCAGCTTCTCGATCAGCGCGGCGTCGTCCGTCGACGTGAGGTCGTCCTGCGCGTAGGCGCGCCGGAGGAGGCCCGCTGCGAAGAGCTGGGGGGTCTGGACGCCGACGAGGTGCTCGCGCGGGACGGTGCCCTGCACGGTGCGCACTTTCGTGTTGACCTTGCCCGAGTCGCCCAGGATGGCGTCGAGGGGGTCGACGTCCGCGTCGTCGCGCGCGGTCTCGCTCACGCGCTTGATGGTGTCGGCGACGGGGACGCCCGGGATGACCGCGTCGTGCTTCTTGCCCGCCTCGAAGACGCGGTCGACGAGCTCCCAGCTCACGCAGGGGCGGGCCGCGTCGTGGACGGCGATGTGCGTCGCGTCCTCCGGCACGAGGGCGAGCGCGTTCGCGACGGTCTCGTAGCGGTGCGTCACGCCGCCCTTGCAGACGGTGACGCCCAGGAGGCCCAGCTTGTCGCCGTGGCGGGTGAGGAATTCGTCGTGGTCCGCGTCGTTGTTCGGCCCGGCGACGATGATCGCGCCGACCTCGTCGCGTTTGACGAAGAGCTCGACGGTGCGTTGGAGAACGGGGCGTCCGCCCAGGTCTTCGTCGAGCTTGGAGACGATGCCGCCGAATCTCGAGGATTTTCCGGCGGCGGGGATGATGACGGCGATGTTCATCTCGGGCATGGGGGCGATTCTACTGATCGGGGGAGGGGCGTAGGATGGGCGGGATGGACGATCAGGGCTCGACAACGCCGAGGGTTGTGCCGGAGGGGATCCTGTGCGTCGGGTGCGGGTACGAGCTGTCGGGCCTGCCGTTCGATCCGGAATCGAAGTGCCCGGAGTGCGGGCTGGAGATCGAAAAAACGAAGGTCGGGCCGCTGCTCCGGTACGAATCGCGGGAATGGCTCGAGCGGACGGCGAGCGGGTTGCGTCTGCTGCATCAGGCGATGCGGGCTTTTGGTGTGTTCTTTGGGTTGCTGGTTCTGATGGTGGTGCTCGTTGTCCTGGGCATGATCGTTTTCCTGATCTTCGGGTGGGACGCTGCGCGTTCGGATGCTGTAGCTCTTTTCGGGGATGTCACGCGTCTTGCGGTTCGCGTTGGGTTTGTCATCGCGCTGTGTGTGATGATCGTCGGCGTGTACCGCCTCTCTCGACCGCCCGAGGTGCTCAAGCCCGAGGGCGGGAACTGGCGTATGTGGATGCTCGCCGGTCCGTTCTGCCTGATCGGGCTCATCGTGATCGGCGCGATCGAGAAACGCGGCGGGCCGACGATCGGCTGGGTCCGCTGGGCGATGAGCCTGTCGCTCGTGCTGACGATGGTGTGCGCGTGGGTCTCCTACATCGCGATGGATCGAGTGCTGCACGAGCTGGACTCTCGGTGTGCGGGGGCGCCTGCACTGGATCCGCTGCCGAAGATGACGGCGGATTGGATCGGTCGTCGTGTCGTCGTGTGCATGATCCTGGCGATTCCGGCGTTTGTTTCCTTTTCGACGGTTGCCGGTCTTGTGCAACTCGCGGTGCTCATCGCATGCATGGATATCTTGAAATGGGTTCGCGTTACGCGAGAGCGGGTGGCGAAGGAGCTAGGTCACAAGTCCGAGCACGACGCTACGATCCAGCCGTCATGAGCAACGACACCGCACAACCGTCCCCCCTCGACCCCTACCGCAAGGCCGTGAAGGAGTTCGGCGCGAGCTTCGAGTCGACGCTCTGGCTCTCGAAGGAGAAGCAGGTCGGGCGGTTCGAGGTGATCGCGGGGATGGCGCCCCTCCACGGGCGGGTGGTGGTCGACGCGGGGGCGGGGATCGGGGATCTGGCGCAGTGGATGCACGATTCGGGCATCGAGTACGGGCGGTACGTGGGGCTCGAGGGGGTGCCGGAGATGGTGGCGAAGGGGAACGAGCGCCAATTGCCCGAGTTCTCGATGGTCCAGGCGGACTTCGCGGGGGACGAAAAAGCCTTCACGCGCCACTCGCCGGACGTGGTGGTCTTCTCGGGGTCGCTCAACACGTTCGACGAAGAAGCGGCCCGGGCGGTGGTCCGGCGGGCGTGGGACGCGGCGAGCGAGGCGGTGGTGTTCAACTTCCTGAGCAAGCGCAACGGCGTGAAGAACCCGCCCGACCCGAGCCCGGCCAGGCGGTTCGACCCGGTGGCGATGGTGGACTGGGCGCTGGGGCTGACGCCGAAGGTGCGGTACCGGCAGGATTATTTCGAGGGGCATGACGGGACGGTGGGGATGTTCAAATAGGCATCAGGCACCGGGCACCAGGCATCAGTGATTCCGGTCTCGGGGCGCGGCGGGTGTACGGGGGCGTGGTCCGCTCCCTGACGGTCGCGGTTGCTATCTTGTGCGCATGGCCATCACCGTCTTTCAGCATTCCGAGATGTGCCGGCCCGGCCGGCTTGGTGTGACGCTCCGCGATCACGGGTACGACCTGGACATCCGGCGGCTCGACCTGGGCGCTGGGGTGCCGGCGGACTTCGATGAGGTCGACGGGGTCGTCGTGCTCGGGGGGCACCAGAACGTGGACGAGAGCCACCCGTGGCTCGCGCCGGAGAAGGCGTTTATCGCCGAAGCGCACGAGCGGAACCTGCCGGTGGTGGGGATCTGCCTCGGCGCGCAGATCATCGCGGACGCGCTGGGCGGGACGGTCGGGAAGATGGACGCGATGGAGGTGGGGCTCGCGGACGTGGAAATCAACGCGTCGGCGCACACGGACACGATCCTCGCGGGGATCGCGTGGGACTCGAAGCAGTTCGTGTGGCACGGCTACGAGGTGAAGGAGCTGCCCGCGGGCGCCCAGCTGCTCGCGTCGAGCGCCGCGTGCAAGGTGCAGGCGTACCGCGCCGGGATGCGGACGTACGGCTTCCAGTACCACTTCGAGTGCGACCGCTCGATGATCGGGGAGTACGTCGAGAAGTTCCGGAGCGAGCTGCACGGGACCGGCGTGACGAGCGAGGAATTCGCGAATCAGCTCGAGGCGCACTACGAGATGTTTGCGCGCCTGGCGGACCGGCTCTGCCTGAACATCGTGACGTACCTGCTGCCGCAGGCGGCGAACATCGCCGCGCGATGAGCCGCCTGACGCTCAAGACGCCGGCGGACTACCTGTTCCGCCGGGACGTGTGCTCGTACGGGTATTTCCTGCTCAAACCGAATGTCTGGTCGCCCAGGCACGAGACGCTCGTGCGCCCGCTCAACCTCGACCGGGGCGTGGCGATCCTGGCGATCAGCCAGCCGTCGAAGAAGCGCGGCGGGGACGTTGTCCTGAAAGCCAATCGCAAGCTTTCCAAGGCGGAGTCGGGCGAGGCGAAACGTCAGGTGCGGCGCATGCTGAGCCTGGCCGACGACGGCGTGAGGTCGTTCCACAAGGTGGACCCGCGATTCAAGCGGAGCGGGCGGGGGCGGCTCTTCCGGAGCCCGACGCTCTTCGAGGACATCATCAAGACGGTGACGAGCTGCAACGTCGCGTGGACGAGCACGATCCGCATGAACGAGCGGTTGTGCGAGACGATCAACCCCGCGTTCCCGACGGACCGGCAAATGGCGCGCCGAAAGCCGGCGACGCTCCGCGCGAGGTGCTCCGTCGGCTACCGCGACCAGCGGATGGTGGATCTCGCGAAGCTGAGCGTGCGCGGCGAGATCGACGAGGCGTGGTACGAGGACCCGGCCACGAGCGACGAGGACGCGCACGCGGCGCTGCTCGAGCTGCCCGGCATCGGGCCGTACGCCGCGGCGAACGTGATGCAGCTCCTCGGTCGGTACTCGCACATCCCGTGCGACACGGAGACGGTGCGTCACGCGAAGACGGTGCTCGGGATGACGGGGACGGAGAGGCAGATCACGAAGAAGGTGCACGAGCACTACGAGCCGTTCGGTGAGCACAAGTTCCGGAGCTACTGGTTCGAGCTCTGGGAGTTCTACGAGGGCAAGCGGGGCAATGCGTGGACGTGGGAGCCGGAGACGACGGGCAAGACGTTCACGGCGGCGCAGCTGAAAGAGGGGGCGTGAGCATGAGCGTCAAGCGCGCGCCGGTGTCGGAATGCCTGCGGCTCAACTCGCTGTACCCGTTCGTCCTGCGCTGGTTCGCGGGGATCCCGGCGGAGGAGCGGGCGTCGATGCGCGTGCTCGATATGCCGGCGGGGTCGGGGGTGTTGAGCGTGCCGCTCAAGGCGGCGGGGTTCGACGTGACGCCGGCGGACCTGTTCCCGGAGTACCTGGCGGAGTCGATCGAAGGGCCGGCGGGCGAGACGGTGGCGGCGTACTTCACGCGCCGCACCGAGGGGACGCCGATGCCGGCGGACGTCGAGCGGGCGCTGTTCCCGAACGGCGCGCCGGCGGTGGACACGTCGATCACGGCGACCGCGGCGGACATGGAAGCGCGGATGCCGTTCGAGGACGGGTCGTTCGACGTGGTGCTCTGCGTGGAGGGGATCGAGCACGTTCTCAACCGGCACGCGGTGCTCGAGGAGTTCCGCCGGCTGCTCAAGCCTGGCGGGAAGCTCGTGATGACGACGCCGAACCTGCTCTCGACGCGGGCGCGGCTCGCGTACGCGTTCGCGGGGCAGCGGGCGTTCAAGAGCTTTATCGACGAGCACAGCTCCGTGTGGGGGCGGTCCGAGGACGGCTCGCGCCTGTACCACGGGCACGCGTTCCTCGTGAACTACTTCCAGGTGCGCTATTCGCTGCACCACTGCGGGTTCCGGTTGACGGAGCTCCTACGCTCGAACTGGAGCACGACGAGCGTGCTCAACGCGTGGATGGTGCCGCTCATCGCGCTCGCGACGAAGCGCTCCCAGCGGAAGGCGAAGCGGAAGTTCCCGCTCAAGAAGGAGGACGGGCGCATTCCGAGGGACGCGGTCGAGCCCTTCGACGAGATCTGCCGTCACGTGCTTTCGGGTGAGCTGCTCTACAACGCGACGCTCATGACCGTCTCGGAAGCGGTCTGAGGGGATTCGCTCGGGAAGAGCCAGGTGCGCACGAAGTGGGCGGTGTCCCAGGCGTAGCGCTCGCGCGCGGTGTTCAGGGCGATCTCGCCCATCGCGCGCCGTTTCGCGTCGTCCTCGATGAGCGTTCGCATGGCCTCGGTGTACTCGGGTGTGCTCCGGCAGACGAAGCCGCCGCCCGTGTCGAGCTTCTCGACGAGGGCGGGGACGTCCGACGCGATGACGGGCAGCGCGGTGAGCATGCCCTGCACGATCGCCTGCGAGAAGGTTTCCATGGTGGAGGGGACGAGCATCGCGTCCATGCGCTGCAGGAACGAAGGGATCTCCGTTGCCTGGAGCCATTCGTACGCGACGATGCGCTCGCTCGGTGTTTTCGGCGGGACCTGGAACGCGGCGAGGTGGAGTTCGGCTCTGTTGCGCACGCCCTCGGGGAGCGCCATGAAGGCGTCGATCGCGACGTTGGTTCCTTTGCAGGGGTCGTCGAGGTTGCCGAGGAGGCAGAATCGGGTGACGCCGTCCGGCTCGGGGGGCGTTGCGGGCGGATTGAAGTCGCGGGCGTTGGGGATGCCGTAGTAGACGTCCGGGCGCGTGCCGGAGAGCTTCTCGAGCCCGTCGGCGATGGCGTCGTTGACGGCGACGTACGTGATGCCGAGGTGCTCGACGTCGTTGTAGAACGCGTCGCGCACGGCTCGGTGGGCGAGGAGGGCGGCGCGATCGAAGCATCCTCGCTTGTGGAGGCGCTTGAGGCCGGGCGCCATCCCGCGGGCGGGGTTGCCCAGGATGAGGCCGTCGAAACGGCGCGAGCCGATGGCGAACGACGCGGCGAGGGTGTTCCAGAGGGGCTTGCGGAGCGAGGGGGTGTACACCGGCTCAAAGTCAACGCCGGCGAGGTGCTTCTCGAAGCGCTGCTTCCAGGATTTGTCGGCGGGGACGGTGAGGCGCAGGCCGAGCTCGGCGAGCTGTCGGACGAATTTCAGGTCGAAGACCTCGACGCCTCGGATGGACTTGTGGAGCCTCCGCGAGAGGAAGCAGGGTGTGATGAAAAGGACGGATTTGTCGCGGAATTCTTCGGCCATGCGCAGGGCATCCTATACCCGCGGCGGGGGCGGGCGGTAGGATGTCGTTCCTTTGCGAAACGGAGGCGCGAGCGGCATGGCCAGCGGGATGGAGACAGTGCGGGAGAGCGTGGTGAACCTGCTCGGCGGCGTGGTGGACTACGCCGGGCTGTTCCCGCCCGCGAAGCTGGAGATGCGCCCGACGGTCGAGAACTACGCGAAGTACGTCGCGTGCGAGCACGAGTGGATGCTCGGGCGGCTCATCGTGCCGGCGTCCCGACTGACCGAATTCGAGGACGCGGCGAAGGATCTGCTCCCGAGGGGCGAGGAGGGGGACGCGTGGCTCATCAGCGCGCTGGTGAGCGCGGAGGCGTTCGAGGAGGGGATGGATGCGATCTTCGCGTTCAACGACCGCCACGCGCCGGAGGAGGAGGGGGGATCTGGTGAGGCGAACGGGCTCGCGCTGGTGGACGTGATCGAGACAAAGGCGGGGGACGTCGCCGGGGTGGACGCGATCCTCGCGGCGCTGCCCGAGCAGCTCGAAGCGTTCATCGAGATCCCGTGGGAGGGTGAGATCCGCGGGCTCGTCGCGGCGATCGGCGGGGATTCTTCGGGGGGCGGGAGCGCGAAGATTCGCACGGGGCACGTGGACGCGAAGCTGATCCCTCCGGTGGAGGCGGTGGCTCGATTCATCGCGACGTGCGCGAGCGCGGGGGTGCCGTTCAAGGCGACGGCGGGGCTGCACCACCCGATCCGGGCGGAGTACAAGCTGACGTACGAGCCGGGCAGCGCGAGCGCGGTGATGCACGGGTACCTCAATGTCTTCGTGGCGAGCGCGATGGCGCACGCGCGGAAGGCGGACGAGGCGGCGCTCCGCGAGATTCTGAAGGAGACGGACGCGTCGCGATTTGTCTTCGACGAGGGGGCGGTGCGGTGGGGGGACCTGACCGTGAGCAGCGACGAGCTGGTCTCGGCGCGGGAGCGTTTCGCGATCTCGTTCGGCTCGTGCTCGTTCACGGAACCGACGGAGGAGCTGGCGCAGCTCGGATTGCTTGGATGAATGACTGCCGCGTTTCCGGCGCGGCTCGAGAGACGAACAGAAGACGAAAGGTGCACTGACCCATGGCCGCCCCGATCAACGACACGCACGACGCCAGCCTCCGCAGCTGGGTGGACTCCGCCAACGAGCCCGGGTGCGATTTCCCGATCCAGAACCTGCCGTACGGCGTGTTCCACCACGAGGACGAGGACGAGGACGACGCGCGCGTGGGCGTGGCGATCGGCGACATGATCCTGGACCTGTCCGTGATCGCGGACGCCGGGCTGCTCGAGGACGTGGACGCGGACGACGAGGAGGACATCGAGGAGGATGTGAGCGCGCCGATGCTCAACCTGCTGATGTGCTCGGAGCCGGCGCGGTGGTCGGCGCTGCGCCGGCGGATCAGCGAGCTGCTCAGCGACGGCAACGACGAGCTGTGCGGCGACGCGTCGCTGATGGAGGACGCGCTGATCCCGATGAGCGAGGCGGTGATGGTGATGCCAGCGGAGGTGGGGGACTACACGGACTTCTACGCGTCGATCCACCACGCGACGAACGTGGGGTCGATGTTCCGCCCGGACAACCCGCTGCTCCCGAACTACAAGTGGATCCCGATCGGGTACCACGGTCGGTCGTCGACGCTCGCGGTGAGCGGGACGCCGGTTCGCCGCCCGCTGGGGCAGACGAAGGCGGACGACGCGGACCCGGTGTACGGCCCGTGCAAGCTGCTCGATTACGAGATGGAAGTGGGCGCGTTCGTCGGGCGGGGGAACGAGCGGGGCGAGATCATCCCGATCGACGAGGCGGAGGACCACCTCTTCGGGCTCTGCCTCGTGAACGACTGGTCGGCGCGCGACATGCAGAAATGGGAGTACCAGCCGCTCGGGCCGTTCCTGGCCAAGAGCTTCCTGACGACGCTCTCCCCGTGGGTGGTGACGATGGAGGCGCTCGCGCCGTTCCGCGTCGCGTCGCTCCCGCGCGAGTCGGGCGACCCGGCGCCGCTCGAGTACCTGAGCTCGAAGGAGGACCGGGAGTTCGGCGGCGTGGACCTGACGGTGGAGGTGTACCTCTCGAGCGAGCGGATGCGCGCCGAGGGGATGGAGCCGGTGCGGCTGAGCTCGGGGAACTTCCGTCACATGTACTGGACGGTCGCGCAGATGCTGACGCACCACGCGAGCAACGGGTGCTCGATGGACCCGGGCGACCTGTTCGCGAGCGGGACGGTCTCGGGCCCCGAGAAGGGGAACCGCGGGTGCCTGCTGGAGCTGACCTGGCGGGGCAGCGAGCCGATCGAGCTCCCGACGGGTGAAACGCGAAAATTCCTTGCCGATGGCGACGAGATCACCATGAAGGGGTTCTGCGAGCGTGACGGTTACCGCCGGATCGGGTTCGGATTCTGCTCGGGCGTGGTGCTCCCCTCGGTGATGGCGACGGTGTGACGGGGCGATTTCCGGGATGCCGGCGGGCGACCGGGCGGATCGTCGAAAAACGAGATTCGGTCGTTTCTTCGGCGCACGTCCGAGAATCCGTCTGAAATACGGTGATTGTCTGTAGGGAATTCAGAAACTGGGGAATTTCACGAGTCTGCCTGAATGACAGACGGATCCCTTGCATCGCTTCAGAACTCTGTTAGCCTTGAACTTGTGGGGTCAATCACAAGCGCGATTGGTGACGATTCGCCAACCGCTGTACGTCCAGTTCGAAGGTTCACGTCGATTTCGGGGTCGATTCGTCGTGTGCCGAAGTGTCGCACCGTAAGAGAGACAAGTTCAAGACAGGAGTGAACTGATGAGAAAGTGTGCAATTGCTGCGGCCTCGGTCGCTTGTATCGCCGGTTCCAGCTTCGCCGGTGTCATCGGCCCCGACGTGATCGTGGGCTCGCTGCCGAACCTTCAGCGTTTCGGCAACGTCGGTCAGATCACGGGTTACTCGATCGCGACCACGTCGTGCAACATCGGTGACCAGATCCTCAATTGGAACCCGAACACGAACATCCACCCGGTGATCAGCCAGTCGATCAGCCGCGTCGGCCCCGCCGGCGACAACGGCACCAAGATCGAGATGCTCGGCATCTCGTGGCTCAAGCACGGCTTCTGCGCCCTGCAGGGCACGGTCTGCGGCTCCTGCCAGCCGGCGGGCGGCGGCTGCCCCCCGCGTCTGGGCATCGGCTGCTCCGACCCCTACTCCTCGGGTCTCAACGGCCAGCAGTCCAACCTCGGCCTGCCCGCTGACGTCAACGCCCACACCGGCTTCTACTCGATGCCGTTCACGGGTGTGAACCAGTCCGGCAACCAGATCTTCAAGCGCATCCAGGTCGACGCCAACCTGCTCGACCCGGGTCAGAACCCCGGCGCGACCTACTGGGGCGCCGGTCAGTACGTCCAGTCCGAGGACTCGTCCTTCGGCAACCAGGACAACAACGCGTCGCACCGCCAGATCCTGGTGAGCTCCGGCAGCGTCAACTCCGGCTACAACCTCCTGTTCACGGGCTCGACGGTCCGCGAAGAGCCGGTCATCTTCGCGTGGGAGACCGTTGACAACAGCGTCACGATCATCCCCGTCGACGTCCCCGAGACCGCGACGGCCGGCGACAACAACGGCCGCGTGTACTTCGCCTACGACGTGTCGCAGAACAACGACGGCACCTGGCACTACGAGTACGCGATGAACAACGTCTCTTCGGACAACCGCATCCGCGGCTTCCGCATCCCCGGCCTCGACATCGCCGACATGATGAACATCGAGTTCACCGACGTCGACTACCACTCCGGCTCCCCGATCTCCAACACCGACTGGAACACCAACGCGTCGACCAGCGATGACTTCGAGATCCGCGGCCCGAGCTTCGGCTCCAACCCGAACGCGAACTCCCTGTGGTGGGGCCGCCTCTACCGCATCGGGTTCGACTCCCCGAACGCCCCCGAGATGGTGACCGCGCAGCTCCGCACGTTCAAGTCGAACGAGCTGCTCGACGTCTCCGTCATGGCCCCGCAGTCCGCCAACGTCTGCCTCGGCGACTGCGACGGCTCCGGCACGGTCGACTTCAACGACCTCGTCGCCATGCTCTTCGAGTTCGGTTCCGCCGACGACGGTGCCTGCAACGCCGACCTCACCGGTCGCGTTGACTTCAACGACCTCGTCGCGGCCCTCTTCCTCTTCGGTCCCTGCCCGTAATGGTGTCACGGCCTGACTGAGGACTGCTATGTCTTACGGCGGGCGGGAGTGCGAGCTCCCGCCCGTTTTTCGTTGCCGCCGACCGTGTGACGCGGCATACTTTGAAGAAGTCCGCTCTCACGAGCCCGGGCAGCCGCCTGAAGTGCCCCGGCGTGTGTGTTCCGAGAGCGGGCGGTGAATCGTGGGGGTATCGCGATCTCCGGAGCGTCCGGAGGGGCGACCACGAGGCTGGCTCTGGGAGGAATATTCCATCATGAAGACTGTGACGACTCTTGGCATCGGTGCGCTCTCGCTGGCGGTGGCCGCCTCGGCGAGCGCCGGGATCACCAGCGTGGGTCCGGACGTGATCGTCGGCGACCTGCCGAACGTTTCGAACTACAACGCGGTGGGCGGGATGAACGCCTACTCCGTCGGCACCACGTCGTGCAACATCGGCGACGAGGAGCTGCTCTGGATCTCGAACATCAACCAGCACCCGGTCATCGGGCAGAACCTGTACCGCTACCACAACGGCGTGATGATGCAGGTCGGCCAGAGCTGGCTCAAGCACGGCTTCTTCGCGCTCAGCGGCAGCCTGTGCGATTCGTGCCAGGGCACCGCCGGCTCGACGCTCGGCGTCGGCTGCTCCGACCCGTACGGCTCGGGCCTCAACGGCTCGCAGGGCGGCCTCGGCCCGCGCTTCGAGGTGAACGCCTACACCGGCGCGTACCCGTACCCGTTCTCGAACCCGCAGGGCTCGTCGGGCAACTCGATCTTCAAGCGCCTGCAGGTGCCGCTGGTCGACGTGCTCCCGAGCGAGGTCCCCGGCGCGATCTTCTACATCGAGGGTCAGTACGTGACGCCCGATGACGCCGCGGCGCAGAACCACTACAACAACGCGTCGTACCGTCGCGTGAACATGTCCAGCAACGGCAACATCACGATCACCGGCTCGTTCCAGACGGTGCGCGAGCAGCCGGCGATCATGGCGTGGGCCGCGGTCGACCCCGACGCGACCGTCGTCCCGATGGACGTGCAGAACGAGGGCCGGTTCCACCTCGGGACGAAGGTCATCGACAACGGCGACGGCACGTGGACCTACCACTACGCCGTGCACAACCTGAACTCGGACCGCTCGATCGGCAGCGTCTCGGTGAACATCCCGAACGGCGTGAACGTGACCGACATCGGCTTCCACGACGTGCACTACCACTCCGGCGAGCCGTTCGACGGCACGGACTGGCCCGGCGCGGTCTCCGGCGGCACCCTGACGTGGGCCACGGACTCGTTCGCGCAGAACGCGAACGCGAACGCGATCCGCTGGGGCACGATGTACAACTTCTGGTACACGGCCGACGCGGCGCCCGAGCTCACCTCGGCGAACTTCGGCCTCTTCAAGCCGGGCGGCATCGGCTCGGTCGATTCGATCCGCGGCCGCGTGCCGACCCCGATGGGCGCTTCGATCTGCCTGGGCGACTGCGACGGCTCGGGCACGATCGACTTCAACGATCTCGTCGAGATGCTCTTCGCGTTCGGTCCGAACTCGGGCGACGCGTGCGACACGGACGAGTCCGGCGCGGTCGATTTCAACGACCTCGTCGCGACGCTCTTCCTGTTCGGCCCCTGCAACTGAGCGGGCCGGCATCGGTTTGATGTGAATCCGCACGGGCGGGCGTTTCGGCGTCCGCCCGTGTTCTCGTTTTGGGCTACCGTGACCGCATGGCACGCGACACCGTCGATCTCCGTTCCGACACCGTGACCCGGCCCACGGACGCGATGCGCGAGGCGATGATGCGCGCCGAGCTCGGGGACGACGTCCTCGGCGACGACCCGACGGTGCGGGCGCTGGAGGAACGGGTCGCGTCGGTGCTCGGCAAGGACGCGGCGTGCTTCGTGCCCTCGGGGACGATGGCGAACCAGGCGTGCGTCCGGGCGCAGACGGAGCCGGGCGACGAGATCGTGGCGCACGAGGGGAACCACGTGTACGTCTACGAGGGCGGGGCGTGGGCGGCGGTGTCGGGGTGCAGCATCGCGCTGCTGCGCGGGGATCGGGGGATGTTCAGCGGCGAGGACGTGAGGCGGAGCGTGCGGCCGGACGACACGCACTTCCCGCGGACCCGCCTCGTGTGCGTGGAGAACACGCACAACCGCGGGGGCGGCGCGGTGTGGCCCCTGGCGAGGCTCCGCGACGTGACGGAGACGGCGCACGGGCTCGGATTGCGGACGCACCTGGACGGGGCGCGACTGTGGAACGCGCACGTGGCGTCCGGCGTCGCGCTGGACGAGCTGGCGCGCGGCTTCGATACGGTCTCGGTGTGCTTCTCCAAGGGGCTCGGGGCCCCGGTGGGCTCGGCGGCGGCGGGGGACGCGTCGACCATCCGGAAGGTGCGCCGGCTCCGGAAGATGCTCGGCGGCGGGATGCGCCAGTCCGGCCTGCTCGCGGGCGCGGCGCTGCACGCGCTGGATCACCATGTCGACCGGCTCGCGGAGGACCACGAGCACGCGCACCTACTCGCGAGCGCGCTCTCCCGCCTGCCCGGGTTCCGGGTCGACCCCGAATCGGTCGAGACGAACATCGTCTACGCGACAATCGCGGAGGGGTCGGTCGCGGGCGGCGCGGCGGGGTTCGTTCGAACACTCAGCGATTTGGGTGTGCGGATCCTTGCGGTCGATAACCAGATCATCCGAGTGGTGACGAGCCTGGCCGTCGACCGAACGTCCGTTGCGAGGGCGATCGAGGCGTTCGAGGCTGCTGCGTCCCGCTTATGCGTCTGATCATCGCGCCGAAGTTCTGATTATTACTTGCTTTACCGCGTTTTTCGGGCAGTGTCAGACTGTAGGTTTCGTCCGACACACACCTCCAGAGGAGAGTCCGATATGTTCACGCGGATGCTTCGCTCGGCTGCGGTCTGTTTGTGGTTGCCGCTCCCGGTTCTCGCGGCGCCGGTCGAGATCGAGATCGATCCCGCGGATTCGGAACTCGAGGTGATCCTCCTGCTGCTGGGGGTCGGAGACAGCGATACGTCGCCTCTGGCCGGCACCGTGGTGATCGATCTGGACGGGACGCCGCCCACGGGGCAACTCACGATCCTCGATGTTCACCTGCGGGCGACCGAGAAGATCGAGCACTCTCTGACTTTCGGCCTCCCGGGGGTGCTCACGCAGAGCACGGACGGACTCGAGATCAATGCCGCGGAACCGGGGATGCCCTCGGCGCCGGCGGTCTTCGATGGGGCGATGTTCGATATCTTGCACCTCGACGTTGAGCTCGCCGGGACAGGGTCCCACGACGCGTCCGGTCTGGTGTGCACGGTTCTGCAGGGCGAGGGCATCAATTGCGAGGGCACGACGAACCTGGCCGCGCTGGGTGACGTGGTCGTGCCGGATATCAGGGGCGTCCTGGCGGTCGAGGGCGAGGAGGTCACCGTGACGCTCTTCTTCGATGTGGAGGTGCCGTACGAGGGGCTGGGATCGCTCGTTCTCAGCGGCCGAGCGGCCGGGGTCGGGACGCTTCCTGATCTGAAGTGCGCCGGCGACTGTGACGGGAGCGGCGAGGTCGATTTCAACGATCTCGTAGCCATGCTCTTCGAGTTCGGCCCGGGGCAGGACGCAGCGTGCGACCCGGACGCGACGGGCGAGGTCGATTTCAATGATCTGGTCTCGGCGCTGTTTCTCTTCGGGCCCTGCTCGTAGCCGGCGGGGCGCACGAGAAGGGCGGCGGGGGCTCGTTTTTCTCGCTGAAGCACGATTCCTGCCTTCCCGCTTGGATTTCCGGGTCGAGCCGGTACGCTACACGGGAGAGATTCACGCCCCATCCACCGGAGGAGACCCCCGATGACCGCCCGATTCGCGCTCGCGTGCGCCGCCGCTTCGATGACCGCCAGCACCGCCTCGGCCCAGCAGGTCGAGATCCCGATCGATATGTCGCTCTCGGACGTCGTCGTCGATCTGACGATCAGCGGCTCGTCGGACACGGACTCTTCTCCGCTGACGGGGACGATCGTGGTGGACGTCGAGGAATTTTCGAGCCCGATGCAGTTCTCGATCGTCGACCTCCAGCTCGAGGCGACCGAGACGATCAACCACAACATCAGCTTCGGCATCCTGGGCGGCTTCACGCAGAGCTCGAACGACGTGACGGTCTCGTACGCGACGCCCGGCACGCCCACCTCCCCGGTCCCGCTCGCGGGGACGGCGTTCACCATCCCGACGCTCGAGACGACGCTCGGCGGGACGGGGTCGTACAACGCCTCGGGGCTGGTCTGCACGATCCTCGAGGGGCAGATGCTCCCCTGCTCGGACACGCTCGATCTCGGCTCCGGCGGCGTCGTCGAGGCGCAGAACATCGACGGCACGCTCGAGATCGCCGGCGACGCGATCGGCATCACGCTCAACATCACGCTCTCGGTCCCGTTCGATCCGAACGACCCGGGGCTCGGCATGATCACCGTGAACGGGTTCGCCGCGGGCGTGGGGACGCTGCCGCCGCAGGTGTGCTTCGGCGACTGCGACGGCTCGGGGACGGTGGATTTCAACGACCTGGTGACGATGCTGTTCGAGTTCGGGAACTCGGACGACGGCGCCTGCGACGCGGACTTCTCGGGCACGGTGGATTTCAACGACCTGGTTTCGGCCCTGTTCCTGTTCGGCCCGTGCCCGTGAACGGGGCATGAGGTTGCGCGTATGATCGGTGCATGACGCGCCGAGACCGCACGCCGACCGCCGAGACGACCGTCCGAAGAATGCCTGCGCGCGGCGTGGTCCTGGGCTTGATCACGCTCGTCATCGCGTGGCTCGTCGTGTGGACCAGCTCGTTCGGCGGGGTGTTCCTCTTCGACGACATCGCGAACATCGTCGCGAACGAGTCGGTGCACGACGTGTCGAGCATGCGGTGGCTCGAGGACGGGCGGCGGCCGGTGACGAACCTGACGTTCGCGCTGAACTGGGAGCTCTCTCCCGCGGAGACGGGCTCGTTCCACGCGGCGAACATCGCGATCCACCTGCTCGCGTCGGCGGCGCTGTTCGGGCTCGTGCTCGTGTCGATGGGCGGCGGGTGTGTGGGCGAGCGGTGGCGGCGGCGGGCGCCGCTCGTGGCCGCGTCGGTGGCGGTCCTCTGGCTCGTGCACCCGCTGCAGACGCAGAGCGTGACGTACATCGTGCAGCGGGCGGAGTCGCTCGCGGGGCTGTGGTACCTGCTCACGCTCCTTATGGCGGCGGTGGGCATCCGGCGGGAGGACGCGGGCCGAGGCGGGGCGGGCGTGTGGTACGCGCTCGCGGTGCTCGCGTGCGCGCTGGGGATGGGGACGAAGGCGGTGGCGGTGACCGCGCCGCTCGCGGTGTTCGCGTGGGACGCGGTGTTCGGCGCGGGGACGGTGAGCGGGGCGCTGAAGAGGCGATGGACGCTGTACCTCTCGCTCGCGCTGACGTGGCTCGTGCTCGTGTGGCTCGGGGTGTTCGGCCAGGTGCTCAGCTCGGACCGGGAGCGGACGGTCGGGTTCGGCGTGGGCGGCGTGGGGTGGTGGAGCTACCTGCTGACGCAGACGGAGGTGCTCTGGCGGTACCTGCGGCTGAGCGTGTGGCCGGACCGGCTCGTGCTGGACTACGCGTGGCCCTTCCGGACGGGCGTGCTCGGGGCGATCGTGCCGGGTGTCGCGCTGGCGGCGCTGCTCGTCGCGAGCGTGGTCGGCGTGCTCCGGGCGAGGTGGTGGGGCTTCGTGGGGGCGATGTTCTTCATCGTGCTCGCGCCGACGTCGAGCGTGATCCCCATCGCGGACGCGGCGATGGAGCACCGGATGTACCTGCCGCTCGCGTCGGTGCTCGTGCTCGCGGTGGCGGGGCTCTTCTGGGCGCTCGATCGCGTGACGGGGAACAAGCCGGCGCTGATCGCGGCGCCCCTCGTCGCGGGGCTGGCGCTGATGCTCGGCCTCCGCACCATCGAGCGCAACGCCGATTACGAGGACCCGATCGGCCTCTGGCGCGACGTGACGATCTATTCACCGGACAACGCGCGCGGCTGGAACAACTACGGCCAGGCGCTCATCGGGCTGGACGCGTCCGCGGCGGGCGCGGCCTTCGAGCGGGCGATCCAGCTGGACCCCGGCTTCACGCTGGCGCGGGTGAACCTCGCCGCGTCGTACATCGACATGGGCGAGGCGTCGCGCGCGAAGCAGCTGGCGGCGGCCGAGCAGGAGGAGCTGGAGCTGCACCGAGACGTGGCCCGCGGGCATTTCGAGCGGGCGCGGGAGCAGGTGGAGCTCGCGCTGGCGGACGATCCGGACCGGCCGGACGCGCTGACGAAGCTCGGGATCGTGCAGTTCCGGCAGGGCCGCGTTGAGGATTCGATCGCGACGCTGGAGCGCGCCCTGGAGATCGAGCCCGGGCGGTTCGACGCGGAAGGGAACCTTGAGCAGTTCCGGGCGATGCTGGCGAAGCGCGAGCGGGCGAAGGCGCTGGCGGACGACGGGAAAGTCCGGGAGGGCGTGCTGGCGTACAAGGAGTACTTCTCGGAGGTCCCGAACGACCTGACGGCGCTGCTCGATTACGGGGAGATCGCGGTGAACAGCGGGGCGCGGTCGGGCGTGGTGGAGGTCCTGGAGGCGGCGATGGAGCTGGACCCGTCGAGCACGCGCGGGCGGCTGCTGCTGCGGCGCGCCGAGGCGCTGGCGTCCGGCGAGAGCGTGATCACGGACGACCTGACGGCGGCGCCGCCCGGCGAGAACGACCTGCAGGCGTCGCAGCGGTGGCTGCGCCTGGCGGGGGATTTCAAGGACGCGGGCCGGCTCGACGACGCGGAGCAGGCGTACCGGACGTCGATCGAGTTCGACCCGACAAACGTCGCGTCGCGCTACAACCTCGGGCTCCTCCTTCAGGAGCGGGGGTACTACGACGAGGCGGTGCTGGAATACCTCGACCTGCTCGTGTTCGCGCCGAGCCGGGTCGACGCGCGGTCGAACCTCGGCGTGTGCTACACGCACATGCGTGACGGGGCGAACGCGGAGAAGGCGTTCCGTGAGGCGCTCGCGATCGACCCGGACCACGTGCAGTCGCGGGTGAACCTGGCGATCGTGCTCGATTCGATGCGCCGGTACGAGGAGGCGATCGAGGCGTACGAGCGGGCCCTTGAGCTCGCGCCCGGGCACTCGGTGGCGACGAACCGCCTCGCGTTCCTGCGCGAGGGCCTGGCGAACGGGACGCTTCCCCCGGGGCCCTGAACCGGCGGGTTACTCCGCGTCCAGCGCCACGTCGAGCTCGACGGTGAGCGGCTGGTAGCACGCGGTGTCCGAGCAGACCTGGTACGTCACGATGACGAGCGGCCGGCCCTCGATCGGCTCGCCGGTGCGCCGGAGCGTCACGTCGAACTCCACCGCGCCGGTGTGCACGAGGAGCGTGCCCAGGTCCTCCGGGATCGCGCTGCCGGTGTACGGCTCGCCCGCGGGGTACTCGACGTCGAGCTCGAGGCCCGTGCCACCCGCGATGGCGACCGTAAGCCCCTGCAGGCCCCGGACGCCGGGCTCGTGGGCGTTGATGTGGTACGGCGCGTCGATCTCGATGCGCACGGGGAGCGTGGCGTCGCCGCTCGCGGGGACGGTGAGGCGCTCGCCCGTCGTGAGCACCTTGACCGGCGACTCGACCTCGCTCCCGGGGCGCGGGGATTCCAGCGGCGGGCCGAACCGCTCGGGGATCTCGCCGTCGATGACCAGCAGCCGCTGCAGGCCGCGGACGGCGTTGACCGTGGCGAGGGGGGATTCGGAGATGTCGCGGCTCATGGAGCCGAGGAGGGCGATCGCGCGCTCGAGGTATTCTCGGTCGCGGGTGATGTCGTAGAGGTCGATGAGGTTGTGGAGCATGACGGACTGGCCGCAGGGCATGGCGCCGTCGTAGGTCGAGCGCGTGCGAACGAAGAGGTCGTCCTGATCGGCGAGGGTGTCGTAGAGGGCGCCGGTCTCGTCGTCGGAGAACAGCTCGAGCGCCTTGTCGGTGAGGTTGCGGGCGCGCTTGAGGTGCTGGGGGTTGGCCTGGCCGAAGGCGCTGGAGGCGCGGTGCATCGCGAGGAGGCCCTGGACGAAGCAGGCGTAGTCCTCGAGGAACGCGGGCGGGCCCACCTTGCCGTCGCGGGCGGTGCGCCGGAGGGCGCCGGTCTCGTCGCGCATGGTTCCGTAGATGTCGTCCGCGGCACGCTCGCCTGCGCGGAGGAGCTCGATGTTACGCAGGACCATCGCGCCGTCGGCGAAGCCCTTGATCATCAGGCCGTTCCAGGAGGTGATGATCTTGTCGTCGAGGCCGGGCTGGTCGCGCTCGGCGCGCACGCCGAGGAGCTTCTCGCGGACGGCGTCGAGCTTCTTCGTGAACTCGTCGGCGGGCATGCCCATCGTCCGGGCGAGGTCGTCGGGGCGCGCGGGGAGGAACAGGACGTTCTTCGGGCCGTCTTCGGGAAAGTGCGGGTCGGTGAAGTTCGTGCCTTTGTCGAGGCCGAAGGCCTTGAGGGCGAACTCGGCGTCGGCTTCGTCGAGCGCCTCTCGGATCTGCGCCTCGGTCCAGAGGTAGTTCAGGCCCTCGCGGGCGTCGACCTCGGCGTCCTGCGCGGAGTAGAAGGCGCCGGATTCGCTCGTCATCTCGCGCCGAACGTACTCGAGGATGTCGGCGCAGACGCGGGCGTGGTAGGCGTCCTGCGTGAGCGCGGCGCTGAGGGCGTAGAGCGAGGCGAGCTGGCCGNNTAGAGCATCTTCTCGAAGTGGGGGACGAGCCACTGCGCGTCGGTGGAGTAGCGGTGGAAGCCGCCGCCGACCTGGTCGTACATCCCGCCCGTGGCCATGCGGTCGAGCGTGTGCTTCAGGGCGCCCGCGACGGTGTTGCGGATGGCGGGGTCCGAGATGGAGTCGCGGATCTCGAAGAGGAATTCGGGGTAGACGGGCTGGGGGAACTTGGGCGCGTTGCCGAAGCCGCCGTGCTCGCGCTCGTAGATCTGCAGGAGCTGGCTCAGCGCGAGCTGGACCTGCTTCGAATCGACGCGGACCGGCTCGGTCTGCTCCTCGACGAACCGGGCGCGGACGGCGTTGGCGATGTTCTCCGCCTGGTCGACGATCTGCTCGGGGGTGCGCTGCCAGATGTCCGAGATGTTGTTGAGCAGGGCGGGGAAGGCGATGCGTCCGAACTTTTCTTCGGCCGGGTAGTAGGTGCCGGCGAAGAAGGGCTTGAGGCCGGGGTCGTCCGGGCCGTTGGCCCCCGGCGGGGTGAGCCAGACGGACATGGGCCAGCCGCCGCCGCCGGCGATCATCTGGGTGGCGGCCATGTAGATCTCGTCGACGTCCGGGCGCTCCTCGCGGTCGACCTTCACGCAGACGAAGTGCTCGTTCATGATGGCGGCGATGTCCTCGTTCTCGAAGGACTCACGCTCCATGACGTGGCACCAGTAGCACGTGGAATAGCCGATGGAAAGGAAGATGGGCAGGTTCCGCTCGCGGGCCTGCTCGAAGGCTTCGGGGCCCCAGGGGAGCCAGTCGACGGGGTTGTGCGCGTGCTGGAGGAGGTAGGGGCTGGTCTCGTTCGCGAGGCCGTTGGGATCGTGTTTGGTATCAGTGGGGGTGTGGCTCATGGGGGTTCCGGGGGGGGGTCCGGGGGGGGCTCCGAGGGCGGCGGCGGACGCGACCGCGAGGGCCAGGAGGGTGTTTCCGGGGTGTGTCATGCGGGATTCCGTGAAGTGGGGGCGCGTCGGGCCTTGTCCGGCGGTCGCTGTCGGGTTATTCTATCTGCCCTTTTGAGACTCACCCTAGCCGCGCCGCTCAGAGCGGGTGCGAGGAGCGACCGAGATGGCCAACGAATGCCACTTTACCGGGAAGCGGACGACCTTCGGGAACAAGGTGTCCCGCAGCGGCGCCGCGATCAAGAAGGGCGGCTTCGGCCTCCACTGCTCCGGCAAGACCCGACGCACGTTCAAGCCGAACCTGCAGAAGGTGAACGCGATCATCGACGGCAAGCCGACCAAGATCAAGGTCTCGACCCGCGCCATCCGCGACGGACTGGTCGTCAAGCCGCTCAAGCGGAAGTACGGCTACACCGCCGAGCAGAAGGCCGCGGGCAACGCGTAAGCGTCCGGCGACCGACCCGAGATCCGAATCAAACACGGCGCGCCCCATCGGGGCGCGTTTTTCGTTTTTGGGCGCGATCAGTCGATCGTGGGCGAGATGCGCGGGCCGACGGTCTGGCCGGCGGCGCCGAGTCGCGGGTCGCGCTTGAGGAGCTCGAAGGCGAAGTCGCGCAGCCCGGTCAGGGCGTTGCCCGAGTTGGCGACGGCGACGACGCCCAGCTCGAGCCCCGGCACGAGGACGATGACGCTCGAGTAGCCGCCGGACATCGAGCCGTTCCAGTGCAGGGTGTAGCCGGCGGGCGTTGGCATGTGGACCCAGCTCATGGCGATGCGTCCGTCCGGCGCCTCGTGGGCGTGGCCCGCGTTCTCCCGCGAGACGAGCTCGCTCCGCCCGCTCAGGGCGCGCAGCTCGTGGCTCGCGTAGGACGCGAAGTCCTCCAGGCTCATCGACAGCGCCGTCGCCGGGCGGCGGAGCGGGTCGAAGCCCGGCACGCGCCCGACGGGCAGCGGCGCGAGCGCCGAGCCGGAGACGATGTGCCCCTGCGGCGCCCCGGGTGTCGCGACGGTCGCGGGCCAGTCGAACCGGGCGGATTCCAGGGCGAGGGGCGAGGCGAGCGACTCGTGGAACAGGTCCGCCCAGCCCCTGCCCGTCGCCTGCTCGGCCAGGGCGACGGCGAGGGCGACGCTCGCGGCGGAGGTGGCGTAGGCGCCGTTCTCGCCCGCGGGCTCGGCGCTGAGGAGGCGCCGGGCGGCTTCGAGACGCTGCTCGGCGGCGCTGCCCCGGAGCTCGCCCAGCTCGGCGTACTCGGGGGCGCTCGCGGTGTTGAATCCGGGGACGCCGGCGCGGGCCCTGAGGAGGGCCGAGACGCTCGCGCGCTCGTAGCCCGGGGCGAGGCCCGGGACCTGCTCGGGCGTGAACGTGTCGTCCCAGGCGAGCTCGCCGTCGGTCACGAGCTTCGCGATGGCGGTGGCGGTGAGGTTGGCGGTGATGAAGCCGAGGTTGAACGGGTCGTCGGTGCGGACGGGGTCGCCGGTGTCGCTGTTGCGTTCGCCGATGATGCCGAAGGCGAGGACCTGCTCGGCGTTCACGACGGCGACGCCCAGCGCCGGGACCTTGAGCTGCGACCGCGCGCGGAGGGTGTCCTGGTCGAGGTTGGCGGCGTTCTCGGGTCGCGGGCCCTCGGCGGCGGGGACGTTGGTCAGCGCGTCCAGCAGCGGGTCGAGCTCGAAGCCCTCGTCGACGCGCCGGATCACGGTGTTGGTCTGGCCGCGTGAGGAGACGGTGACGGACTCGCCCAGGACAGGGGCGATCTCCCCGGCGACGATCTCGCTGGCGGCGTCGAACGTCTCGACGATCTCGGCGTGGAAGAGCGAGCCCTCGATGATGCTCCAGGAGTACGTGCCCTCGAGGTTGGGGAACTCGGGGGCGTCGGCGGGGTCGGGGACGTCCTCGGTGTACGGCGCGGTCTGGACGGTGCCGGTGAGGGCGATCTCGGCGAGGCCGTTGGCGGATTCGATCACGAAATGCTCGGCGTCGATCCATCGGTTGGAGGCGGGGCCCTCGTACTGCGTGTAGCGCTGCCAGGACTCGCCGGCGCCGACGCTCGCCTGCTCGGTCGTGTGCGAGAAAATCAGGCCGAAGCTGTTGCGGATGCCGTCCTCGCCCAGCAGGTAGAGCCCGACGCGCTGGCCGGCGATGGTGTCGTCGAAGTCTTCCTGGCGGTGGCTCACGCTCTCGATGGCGAGGGTCTCGTCGAGCGTGATGGTCACGGGCACGCCGACGGTGCGCATGTACGCGACGGAGGAGTTCACGCGGTCCGGCTCGAGGTCGTCCGGCGGGACGGGGTCGCGGGCGGTGTCCGAACGGATGCTCGTGCGCGGCGAGCGAAAGGTGGAGCGGATGCGTTCGTAGGTGAGCGTGAGCGTCGCGCCGGACGCGTTCCGCTCGGTGCACTCGAGGCTGAAGAGCAGGAAGAGCTCGCTGGAGTTTTTGATCGTGTCGGCCTGACCGGGCGTGGTGTTCTCGGCCTCGGTGCGGGTGAAGACGAGGTAGCGGCGCGTGTCGCCTTTCGCCCATTCGGGGGCGAGGTCGCGGTCGTCGACGTTGACGGGCTGGCTCGCGGACGCGGGCTGGGTCGCGGCGGCGGGGGTGTTCGACGCGGGCGGGGGCGAGGATGTGTAGAGCAACGCGACCGCGACGAGCACGATCACGAGCGGGACGATGACGCGGGAGAACTTCATCCGGGGAGTTTAGGACCCGGCCACGGCGGCGGCGATCTTCTTGGCCGCATCGCCCAGGTCGTCCGCGGCCTGCATGGTGGGCAGCTCGCCCTTGGCGTCCTCGAGGATCTGCTTGCCCTCGTCGACGTTGGTGCCCTCGAGGCGGACGACGAGTGGGATGGAGAATCCGACTTCCTTGGCGGCGTTGACGACGGCCTGCGCGATGATGTCGCAGCGCATGATTCCGCCGAAGATGTTGAC